TCGCTCCGCGACGACAACATGAACCAGTCGGTGGATGCCTGGATCATGACCTTGCCCGCCAAGATCACGAACGTGCGTTTCACGACGTGCGCTGGGCGCTCTCCCGCTCGCAGCTGGCGAGATTGGAGCGTTGTCCCCAGCGGTGTCTGCGCAGCGACCGACTTCTTTAGCTCGAACTGTCCAAGCTGTTGTCACTCGCTGATGTAACCTCCGAGATAGCCAATCATCAGTCGCATGGCTCTCTGAGCGGCCATGCCGCATTGACGAGCGGTCGTCTTCACGGCGCAGCTCTTCGTCGGGCAATCCTTGCCGTGGGTGGACTTTGAAACTGGCGCCCTAAAATTGCACTGCGCGCGTTCGTATTCGTGCCGCTGGCCATCAGATTCGCAAATCACATTTGCTCCGCTGCAAGGCACGGGCGCGCAACCCAGCCACGCTCAGATGCTATTTTCGCGATAGCGAAAAAAAGAAACGCCTCGTGGCCGAATAAAAAAGCCCAATAACCCTCCGAGAGCCCTATCGGCTTCCCAGATGCTTCCAAGGGCCGCTAAGAGACTGTTGACGCGCGCTCACGCACCAACGCGGCCCGCCGGAGGCCTTACAACTTCCTGCAAAAGTCCGCCTGGAAGCACCACACGAGACCCCAATCTTCTCCAAATCGGCTTCATCATACCCACAACCAGGGCACGGTGGATAGGCCGAAAGCCATTCGATACTGACACGGGGTTTTGCCAGGTGTTTTCCTGCCGATGCAGGAATATCGCAATCCTGTGCAGGGCCCTCCGCGTACAAAAACGACGTGGGGGGCATAGCATTGATGGTGGCGATGTACCTGATATCGTTCCAAATATGCAGCGGGCTGCTGCGTCGACTAAATATTCGCCCATGGTGCACAGGACCTCGCAAGGCTGAACCAATCTCAATAGCTGATAAATTGCAAGTTGGCAAATGTTGAGGGAGTCATGTCTACTTTGGGCAAGGAAGGGCGGCCATGATGTAGCGGTGGAAATACCGGCCCATGCGTTTTTTCCATGGACGGATCGCGCCCACGTTCCAATCGCTGACAAGTCTGGAATCAGTGCACGCAGCTGGCCCCCGGCCCATGACATAATGATACGGCGATAGCAGAGTGGAGCAACGGCAACGGCGGAACAATCCGCACATCCTCCTCCAGAGATTGACGATCTGTATATCATGAATACAAATGTCCCTCCCCCCGCCCCTTCCACGTGTTGTAACTAGTACTTGTAATTAGTTACCACACCTGTTCTCACACATAGATGTTTTGTGAACGGTATGTTCTGCAATCCGATACTTCGGCGTTTCAAACTTGCAGCGTGGGCCTCATTTCCATATCGGCACTTTCGCACCAGTGCGGCCTCTTGTCAGATTCTGAATAGTGCTTCATTTCGGTGCGTTCCCCTGGTCCTTCTATTCCTCCTTCTCCTTCCACTCCAGTTCCTGCGGTTGCTGTCGTTCTCGCCCCAGCGTGGGCCACTTTTCTGAATCTGAGTCTCTCTTCATCGTTGTCGTCTCCTTTATTTCCCTCCCTCCGCCTTCCCCTGGTCCTCTTCGTCCTCCAGATCCTTCCGCTGTTTCCCTGCTGCTGATGTTCGTCTTCAACATTCCCCTCACCTTCCCCTCACGCCGATCCTCCTGCTGACCTGCCAGATCCTCCTACTGCACACGCAGCTCCCCTTCTTTCCGATGTTGCATAACATGAAGTGGCCTTTCTGTGGGAATCGCAGGTCGGAAATGACACGCGTCCGCGGATAGAGAACAATCAGCGCCATGGGAAAGGATGGGCGGGAGGGATGGGATGTCAGATAAGGCGCGAGCGCACCTAGCTTGCCATCCGGCCTCTGTTCCTCCCCCTCCCTCCGCATCCGCCCGTTCCTCAACCGCCTCCACCTCCACCTCAGCCCCTTCTTCTCCAACCCACTCAGCAACTAGAGGCCTCCCAAATGGATCCGAGTAGATGGGGTCGGAGGATCGCGCCGCACCGCCGATGCAACGGAGCCGTGGTCGATGCATCGGCGACGCTGGCGTGGAGAACATCGGACTCCACTTCGAGTCCCATCGCCGATGCATCGGCGATCCTCCGACCTCACCCGACTTCTCGGACCCCATTTGGGAGGCCCAGACCGGCGCCCATCTACGAGGCGGCGATTGATCCATATCCGCCCCTGGGGAGCCGACGTCCTGGTGCCCCTGCGGGCGGTGGATATGGATCTACATTGGCCCCCGGGGGCCTGAACATTTCCATATTCGCCGCCCGTGGGGGTCCGCGAAGATCGATCCTCCAGGCGGTGGTTCTGCATAAATTTCCGCCTTGCGCCATCGCTCCCTTTGCCACCGACGTCGGCCGCCCTGCGTCCGCGCGGCCGGCCCCGTCCCACGCCCTCGCTCCGCCAGGGGCTCATAGGTCGCAGCGGCGGGGCCCCCGCGCTGGCGCGAAGGGGGGCTCGCGCGGGGTTCCTCGCGCACGGTCGTACGAGCCTGGGGGGCCGCAGGAGCCGCGGCGATGCCGAGGCACGGGGAAGGGCAGCGGGGAAGGTGGAATGGATAAGAGAAAGTGGGAGGAGGAGGAGGAGGAGGAGCAGGAGGAGGAGGAGCAGGAGGAGGAGGAGGGGGAGGAGGGGGCGTCGGCGGCGTTGGAGGAGGATTGAGGATGAGGAGTGAGGAGTGAATAGGCGATAGGCACGGAGTCTCTTCGGTTGCGACATCGGTCAGCAATCGGGTGATGAGGAAGGCGGAGGAAGAGTAGGAGGCGTTGGATGAGGACGAGGGTGAGAAGGATGGCCAGGAGGGAGGAGGATGGAGGAAAGGAGGGGAATGGGGGAAACAAGGAACCGAATCTCAGCATCGCCGTGGCGCCGGCTGCCTCGAGCTCCCCTCCCACACCCCGACAAACAATACACCACCAACAACCCTGGCCAGGCCAATCCTGGACCCTGGACTGGTGTAAAGGCCCTCCTGGCCTAATTAGGCCTGGGGGTCTATACACCAGTCCGGGGCCCAGAATCGACCGGGCCAGGGCCAGTGGTGGTGATAAATTGTCGGCGTCCCTCCGACCGACGTTCCTCCTGCTCCTCTTCATCATCACTCTCCGTCGTCATCCTTCTGATCCTCGTCGCCGCCGCCCTGACGGTGGCTCGAGGGCCTTCGCCTTCTCGGCTGCCGCTGCTTGGGGAGCACAAGCAGCATCCACGGCGCGCCGCCGTGGGGCACACGTCAGCGCGTCGCTGCGGAAGAAACACCAGGCCCTCCGGTACGACCCAGAGAGCAACACGATGACGGGTGACCCCCTGCGGCACATCATGGGCCGCACAAGGACGAACCGACACTTGCCAATCTCCTCGGAGACATGCGCCCGGCCCTAACATAGAATCCAAACATGTTGCATTCCATATACACATACATAAACATATGTGTATATATCTGTATATACATATATATATATAGTTTCCTGACCGGTACCGCTAGAATGCGCCTGCCAGGAAGCACATACTATTAAATTTCTCGGCACGCGCGTCGCCCCTGGGGGCGGGGCACGCACACATAGGTTTAGTATGTTGGGGTTACGCCGAAGTCATTGACACGAAATCTCGCCTCTCCCAAACTTAGAGGGCAAGAAACGAACACCGACAAGCGAAGCCCGTTCAGTAAGCACACACACCAACAGCAGGAACGAACAAGACTGTATCGTAAACGCCCAGACCGTCTAGTAAACGCCAATTCTGACGGTCGGGGTGGTTTTCCCTCACTCGATGCAGGGAAGGGGGGGCGAAAAGAAGGGCGCGACCAGCCATGGCACTGCCAGAACTCCAATCAAGATGCGAAAAGGCTTTCCTGGCCAAAGCAGGCCTCGTCAATGAATACGGTCCCCGACCTCGACCGAAGGAGCTGCCCGAGAACACGGGCCCCTCCTCGGCCCAAAGTGGCCCGTATTGAAGCGCCTGAAGGTCCTCCCCTGAGAATTGCCGCAGCCATTGCGGCTGCCACTGCCGCCCAGGTCACCCAAACCCCACGCCCCGCGCACCGCGAGGGCCGAGGCACCTGGACCTGGAGCCCTCGAGGGCCTGACGCTCTCCTCGCGGGCCTGCCCCCCGCGCACTGCGCGGGAGGCCGTCCGGGCTATCGGCGATGCGGGCGCCGCCATCACCGGGAGCAGCCGACTCGGGGCCCGCTCGGGCGGAAGCCGGAGTCCACGCGCGGGTGCCCCAGCGCTGGGCGGAAGGGGGGGCGAACGGGCGTCCGAGAGGCTGCTCGGGCAGCGCCGACGTGCGGCGCAGCCCTCCCGCTGACGCGCGCCTCCCCCAGGAGGAGGAGGAAGAGGAGGAGGAAGAGGAGGAGGAGGAGGAGGAGGCGGAGGACCAGAGGAGCCCCAAGAGTCATCAAATATGTTGGAAGAAGCCCTCCCCTTCCCCGACGCGATGGTCGGGGACGCGCGCATGGGGTCCAAAGGGGGCCGCTGCGGCGCGGAGGCCCTCGGCTCGGCGGCCCGCTCTCCGCCCGCCCTCATGCCGCCCCCCCTCCGTCTGCGACGGGTCCTCGGGCGCGGATCACGCCCCGTCCCCTCCAATGCGGGCCGGGCCCCTCGTCTGGCGGCGTTCCGACCGAGAGCCGCGGGTGCGCGGCGGCTCCGGAGACCTGTCGTCGCCCGCGCGGTCATCTCTGGGGCGCGAGCGTCCCGAGAGCGCAGAACATTGGCGACCAGATTCAAAGGAATTCCTCACGTCGACGATCGGCAGCGGCCTTCTCGGCAAGCCTTCCAGGCTCAAGTGAGGCGAGAATGTGCTGAAAGGCTGGCGTCCGCGGGGAAACCTCTGGTCGGAAGGCGGCCGCACCCCTGGAAAACCGGGGATGACGCATGCGTCCTCCCCGTCCTCCTGTCATTCCTCCTCGGAGTTCTCAGTCCTTCTCGTCCTCTTCACGGCCCCGTTCCTCCACCCCCCCGCCGGGGCGCGCGCGCGCGCAGAGGGGGGCGCCCAGCGCGCGGCCGGGCGAGCCGGTGGAGGGGGCGCGATCAGTAGCGCTGCAGCAAGTTCCTGCGCGGATGCGCTCCGTCGCAGTTGCCGTCGCCGCCCAGGATCGAACACACTGCAAGGCGGGGACACATCCACAGCCACCGCCTGGGGAACCGACGTCACGGGACCCGGGGGGCGGTTTTGGGACGTGGATCAAGGGCCTCCTAGATGGGGTCAGGGTAGATGGGGTCGGAAGAGCACGTCGCATCGCCGATGCATCGACGTCGTCGTGTGGAAATCGGGCTCCGAATCGAGCCGCATCGCCGATGCATCGGCGATGCGGCGCGATCCTCCGATCCCGTCGAATCCGACCCTGTCTGGGAGGCCTAGATGGATGCGTGTCGGCCCCAGGGGGCCGAATATGTTCGCATCCACGGCCTGCTGAGGTCCTCGAACATCGATCCCCAGGCGGTGGTTTCTGAACAAGTCCACGCCTCGGGGCCGCTGCCGCTGCCGACGCCGCCGAGGGTCGAACGAAGGTCGCACCGCACGGTTTCCCTGCAGCCTCCTGGGGGCCCGCGTCGGGCCCCGGGGCCGTCATGGATCGATGGGGCGAGAACTGGCAACGACAGAATGGACCTCGGAAGGGGTCTGGGGACTGGCTTGGAGCGGGGAGTCCAGGCGGCCGCCGCCGTCGCCGCCGCCGTCGAATGTGTGTTACCTCTCCTCACTTCGTCCCTGGCTGAGAGAGAAACAGGGCGACACGAAACCCACCCACCCAATATTAGAAGCAACTGGCAGAAACATGAGTATGACGCGTGGACGCGTCCGCTTCCAGGGACAGTGCCGCACCACCCCAAAATCCATGGCTCACCCCGCATTGCACTCAAAACGACGGGGGGGAGCCGAGCAAAAACGAAACGCCACCCCTGGAAGACGCAACGGCACATTCCAGGGCGCGCCCCGCCCTCAACGGACGCACCCCATAAACATGTGTCGGGGATGGCGACAACGCGACGGCAGCCTCGGCGACGCACCTGAGGATCCCGATGATGATTCTAAGATGACCCCCCAGGATTATGTACCGGGAGGGACCACTTGGCACAGTCTCCGAGCGTTATCTTGGAAGACGTTGGGGGTCCTCTATGGGCCCTCGACGGCCACTGATAGCGCTGCCAAGGGCCGTCGCGGCGGCCACAAGAAAGCCTGAAGAGGGCCCAGGACTTCGTGACTGTTATTGGGCGTATCTGCGGGCTCCCCCAGGCCTCCAGAGATAGCTCCAAGCCGCTGGCAGGTCCCGAGAAGACTGTCATAATCCCACACGCGACACGAATGGCAACATTGATGGCGACACGAATGGGCAGGGCATCTGCAGCGGCAGGAATGGCGACACACATGGCGCCACTGACGGCGACACGAGTGGCGACACGGTGGTGTCAACACGATTGGCTACACTGATGGCTACACGATTTCAACAGCGGCCTGGCCGCGACCACGGTCACCACTCGAAAAACACGAATTCCGTTCGCCCTGCTTGAGGGAATGATTATGCTTGGGGTTTGGCCGATGCTCTCGTGTCCAGTTCGAACGTGCACATTCTTCGCCCTGAATGGCGATACGATTGGCGACGCTACTGCACTAACGGCGACGCTAATGACGACACTCACAGCGACGACGCTAATCGACAATCATGTCAGCACAAGTGGCGTCACGAACGGCGACCGTCCTTTTTATCGACCTTACATGTGTGACCCGCCAATGGCGAGGATCGCCAGGATAAGAGCGAAGGACAAGTCAGGGAGAGAGAGAGAGAGAGAAAAAAAAACGATGGTTTTGAATGCGCGAGAAGAAAGGAGGAAACAAAGGGACCATGATAGAAACAGGGGAAGCTGGAATGGCGCAGGTGATATAAAGCTTGATAGGGAGCTCACAGAGTCAGCACAGGTTACCCCAGCCCAACTAGGTCACCAGAGAACGGCGGACGCTGGCACGCAAGCCAGACGGAGCACAAGTGACACAAACATCTGCACATCGCCATCGCAAACAAAGCGAACTCTAAAATTCAACTTGTTGTACGATGTACGTGGACTGTGGATGTTCGAGTCTCTCGAGCGGGCGAGGCGGCACTCCTCCTCCTCCTCCTCCTCCTCCTCCTCCTCCTCCTCCTCCTCCTCCTCTTCCTCTTCCTCCACTTCCTCCACCTCCTCCTGTGTCGTTGGGTCCTCGCTACGCGTCCGCAGAGCCGCGCGTCTGCTCTCCCTCCAGCCGCCTCCAACTCTTCATCCTCCCCCTCCTCCACCACCTCTCGTTGCCCTTCGTCGCCGTCCGCATGTCTGTGCCGGTGCAACCCTCACACGCTTCGTGCCCCCCAGGGTAGCCAAGCTAGCTAGATCCACGGCATTGGGGCACGCGCACGTTCCGCGCCGCGCCCATGTCGGCACACCCCTCTCACGTTTCGCGCTCCGCAGACAGTCCGCCTGGATTTACTTCAGATGTTGGAGGTCTGGGGAGGCGGGATTCGTTCTGACGAGAATTTCGGGGGGGGGTCTGCCTGTGTCAACGGAGAACGAGGAATCCTGGAGAGATTTCCCTTTGTCGACGGACGAATTCTCGTTCCGAATGAGATTTTCATGGCCCCGGGCCTCAACACAGTCACGGGAAAGTGCAACATCGCGGGAAATCACGAGCGTAACCCTGGGCCATCTGCGACGGTCCTATGATGGGTCGGTTTTCCACCACCACTATCATAGGCAGGAGATAGGGGAGGAGGTTGACAAGAAGGAGAAGACGGAGGACCTTCCCTATCCTCCCTTCTCCCCCGTCATACCTATGGTAGTGGCGGTGGAACGTTGGCCCATCATCCTGGGCTCGAAGCTGGGCGAGGAGCGAGAACACCCGACGTGAACAAGTTCGACGCCCGGGCCGCCCGAGGAAGGACGAGGCGGCGACGGCGGCGGCAAGCCCGGACATCCTCCGAAATGATGCTCTTTCAGTCCGCGGGCGGTCCCAGGGCCTCTGACCCGTTCCACAGGGTTAAACTTCTTCATCCTGGAGAAGTTGCGAAGCCGAAGCAGGAACGATGGAGCTTTTCTGGCCACGGCGAGCCTCATGGATCTGACCTAAGGAGCAGCCAACAGAAACATAGTGAACCCCCTGCTGAGCCCGAGGAGGTCCTTCTTTCAGCCTCTGGACTTTAGGGTGGGCTTGGCGGTTCGCCTGAGATCTCTTCGCCACTGCTGATCCTGAAGCTTGAAGCTTCCAGCAACAAAACGGATGGAGAGCGGTACCCGTCGGCCGCCCCCGGGAGAGGAGGGAACTGAACACCGCTCGACTCTTGGACTAGGAGGGCGGCTAAAGTAAACTGGGACCTGGGCGCCCAGAAAACACCTACTTTCAACAACGGGCGTGTAAGAACATGGGCCACAGAGGCCGACAACGGGTCACTCTCGTGTGTAGCTCGTTCGGCTACACATGAGTGACCCCCGGCACGGATGCCCTTTGGTGCGCGGCTTCAGGGCGCCCCATGGTGCCGAAACCGAGGAAAACATTGAAATCGAAGAGTGACCGCCGGAGCTCTGTCGGCTAGACGCAGGAGTGACCCCAGGCACGACTGCCCTCTGGTGCGTGGCTTCAGGGGGGCCGCGAAGAGGCCCGCAAGCCGATTCGGGGGGGGGGGGGCCATTCGGCCCTGTGGGTTCGCACCCGAATCCACCCTGGCGAGAGGTCACTCAACAGCGTGCTCCTGTCGAGCAAACACCAAATCTCTTGCGTGACGAATAGGAATGGGTCTTGCGCACTATGCAATGGCGACCTTACGCGGTGGGTTACCCAGGCAGCCAGCTCGGCACCCAACATACGAAACGAGGCCGCTTACACACGGCCTTGCGCGGGAAACGTAGGCGCGAATGTTCGCGCAATGAACCCCGTTGTATTCCGTCGCTTCACACCAGCCATTTGGGCGTGGTGTGGTTTGCGCAATGAGTCCTTCCAACCTCCTTTGCCTCTTGGGGGAGAATGGCCCCAAGAGGGCCTCGACAAGGCCCCGCGATGCCTCCAGTGGGCTCCCAGAGCGTGACGGCATGCTGACACACATCCCTAATCAGGGCGACTCATCTGGTGATTGTTGTGATTTGAACAGATCCACAACACTTAAGTCGGGCCTGTCCTCCTACAGGCCGATTTTGGACGAAAACTGAAAAATAGTCCCAAAGTGCTATAACATATTCACATGCAAAAAAATTGGCCAGACTATTTTTCGACTATTTTGAAATATTCCTCCTGTAGAGGGACAGGCCCGATTTAACGCTACGCGTCAGGAGCGACCAGTGCGCGCATCTCAGGGACCGCCAGGAGGCCACACCCGAGTGCGCCAAACGCCGCCCGTCGCATCGCAATCACACTTGAGCAGGGACCGACCGTCCCGGCATTGCTATAGGCCCACCACGGTATGTTCTTAGAACCCCAAACTGTTCTAAGAACCAACAAAGTTCTTAGAACATGAACCCGATGCGCTTAAACAATACAATACCGGCCAGACATGTTCTAAGAACATTTCGTGGAAACCACAAAAAGTTATGAGAACATTGTTTGGTAGACCTATAGGCACGCCAAGACGCTTCGCCACTGCTTGACACGCATCCGGAGACCCCAGCGCGTCCGCCCTTAAGAAGTCACTCCAGCGGAAGGTCACTCCTGCGTGTGTAGCCGGCAAGAACGATGCAGTCAAGCCGCATGACAAGGATGCGCGGTGAGGATGCAAAGGCCTTGGACGGCCATGTTGACATTCTTCGAGCGAGGCTGGCCGGCGAGAGTCGCCAAGCATGGGCCGAAGGGGCAAGGGTTCAGGGGCACCCCCGGGAAGGTTGCCCATCCTTGCTGTGCGGCACGACTTCTTAGAACAGCCCGCCTCCCGGGCTCCCAGCGGCGGCGCGCCACCGCTGCCCTCCGGAGCCCCTCCGCAGCCCGCACCTCTGGGGCGACGGCGCCCGCGCGGGGGGGGGGCCGCGCGAGCCTGATGATCGTGCTGCCTGCGGGCCGGGGCCCCGCCGCCGCAGCGCCGGCCTCGGCGCGCCCCGGCGCGCCCGAGACCCCGCCCCTCGCGGCCGTCTGCCGCCTCGGCCAAGCCTGCAGCATCGCTGAGAATCACGACCGGAGCCCCGGACCCCACCTCTCGGCGCCGTTTCCCGAGCCGACCGACCTGCACGTGAGGCCCCCAAGAGCCCGAACCTGGGCGAAAGCGCCCGCTGCAGCACGAGTTCCAACACCCGGGCGTCAGGGTATGATAGCGCGGAGGCGATCCAACACCTGGACGGTGGAGGGCTCCCCAAATGCGCCTCGGATCCGGCCCTGGCCGGAGCGTCATGGTACCCGTGGTCCCCGTGGCTGTCGCGTCGCCCGAAGATTGAGGCTTCTGGCGGTGTTTGGTTCCGCCGTCTCTTCGGGGCCCTGGGGGGCCTCTGGCGGTCTCAGAGACCGGGGGCAGCCGGCGTCGCCGTGGTCGTTGTCGGCGCCTTTGGCCGCAGCTCGGCGCGGCTCTTCTCCCAACCCTCCAGCTGCGCCGCCTTGCCTCGTCCGCACCTGGCTCGGAAGGCGCAGCCATCGTCACCATAGGCAGGAGAGGGAGGAGGGGGAACATTAGGAGGAGAATTGGGAGGAGAATGAGGGGGAGGAGGAGGAGGAGGAGGAAAAGGAAAAGGAGGAGGAGGAGGAGGCGGAGGAGACCAGCGTACCCAGAGGTCAGCTCCCCGCGCCTAGCACGGCGCCTGAGGCAGCATGGGCACGCCTCCTGTCGAAGCTGTTGTAGCTGAGGCCGCCGACGCTGCAGCACATGATGTGCAGCGGATAGCCGTCGAATTTATATCATTCTTATTCAGAGGATGCAGAATGCAGGGGGGAGCGAGAACGCAAGATGGGACCGAGGCGAGACGCAGAGAACAGAAAAGGAAAATGGGCAACAGGAGCCTTTTCCGACGGCACTCACACACATGGGGCAATCTGAGGGTGCCCCCAACTCCTGTACCAGGACTCGTACCAATAGAAGAAGATAGAGTAGCACTGCATGACCATGACGACGAAATTCTCGTCAGAGGCGAAATCGAAGAGGAGGGTCCCGCCATCAGCGACGGGCAGGGCGCAAACGAAGAGGCAGCAGCCGTCGAACACGGCCAGGTCGGGGAAAACGAGCACGGGGTAGTAGTGAAGAGAGAGGCGATCCGTGTCCAAAACGGAGAAGCTCGTGACGACGGCGTAACTCTCCGAGACGGCGCAACTCTCGAGGATGGCGTGCAGCTCTCGAAGACGGCGCAACTCTCGTTGACGGAGACACTCTCGAAGACGGCGCAACTCTCGAAGACGGCGCAACTCACCATGACGGGGCAACACTCGACGTCGGCGCAATTCACGAAGAAGGCGCAATTCTCGATGTCTGAGCCCTTATTTCCATCAGAGGCGGTCGACCTCCGCACAAGAGACGAGATCTCGCAACTTACTCCAGAGCCCTTATTTAGAACAGAGGCGGTCGGCCTCCGAACTCGAGACACAAGCTCGCAACTTACTCCAGAGCCCTTATTTAAAACAGAGGCGGTCGACCTCCGAACTCGAGACGCAAGCTCACAACTTACTCCAGAGCCGTTATTTCCATCAGAGGCGGTCGACCTCCGCGTTCTAACGCCGGTGGCCGCAGGGCTCGAGGAGCACCCTGCGACCGAAGGAGGAGGCGGAGGAGGAGGAGGAGGAGGAGGGGGAGAATGAGGAGGAGGAGGGGGAGAATGAGGGGGAGGAGGAGGAGGAGGGGGAGAATGAGGAGGGGGGGAATGAGGAGGGGGAGAATCAGGAGGAGAATTCGGAGGAGGAGGAGGACATCCCCGTGCCGCCACAGAGAGCGCGAAGCAGGGAGCGAGACGGGGTCCTGTGGCCACGGCGAGCCTCGGCCCAGGTCCGAGGAGAGGCCCGAGAACCAGAACCCCGCCCGAGCCCACAGGGGGTCCTTGCCGCGGGGCTTCCGCGGGCCGCTCTCCTGGTCAGAGTTGAGGTTCTCTCTTTCCATCCCTCCTCCATCCCTCTCCTTCGTTCACTCTCTCTCTCTCTCTCTGCCCCTGTCTCTTCCTCTCGATCTGTCTCCCTCTCTCCCTGTCCCTCCCTGGCGCGCTCCACGCGCAGTGGGAGGGGCCTATAGCGTCGATCCCAAAGGATCTGGGTTTACCTCCGACAACTTCTGCGTATGACGAACTCGTCTGGAGTACGTTCACGTCTTGTGACCAAGATCCGTTGGGACCCTGGACAAACAAATACTACTTATCTCCTTCCTCCTCCACTTCCTCCTCACCCCTGCCGCGATCAGCGGGCGCAGAGTTTCGCCCACTTCTGCTTGCGGTTGCTTGCCCGCGCTCTCAGACAGGGGATGGCTCATGTGCAATGACGCGGGGCCGCACGTCTTTCGTCACCCACCTGTGCCCTAGGCAGCTGCCACGTCTCGGGCATACGGCGAATTCGCGTCGCGATGACGTCGGCGTGGGTCTCTGACGCCCCGTGGATCGTTCAGCCTTGAACCATCAAGGCACTCCGCTCGGGCAGATCATTCGCTATCGGCTTAGGCTGGATTTTGGGCGCAAAATGGAACATCTCACAAAAATGCACACAAGCATGGTCAAAACACAATGAACAAACACCGTCCCCTGAATACTTTTGGACTATTTTTGGATACTCCCCCCTGCAGAGGGACAGGCCCGACTTGACTGTCGGCCGATCCTGGGCCACCGGCGGCGCTCCGCCTTGCACGCCCGACCTGGGGCCACGGCCGCGGGCCGCGCGGCGCGCACCTGCGGCAATCATAGGCCTGCAGAGGAGAGCCCGGCGTCGAACCGAGACGTCGGCTTGGCGATCGCAGCGAATCGGATCGGCGGGAGTTGACGAGCGAACAACACACACACACCCGTACCCATAGGGAAATCGGAGGGAGAAGGGCTGGCTATGGGTATGGGTGCGGGTTGTCGGACCCCTGGGGAGGCTCCCGTTCGAACGGGAACCCCTATCGACAACACGCACCCGTAGCTCATTCCGGCCCCCTTATGGGTATGGGTGCGTGTTGACCGTTCGTCAAGAATGGGCAGCAGAGCCGGAAAGGGTCGAAGCATAGGAAAACGGCAATTAGTGAGGCCTCCAAACCATCGGACTCGGAAGCGGAATCCGACGAGGTCGAGTCGAAGCGGAATCCATCGAAACCGTATCGGATCGAAGAGGAGATGAGGGCTGGGCTTGATCCTCGACCTCTCCCAGGGTGCTCTGACCCGAAACTCCGATGCGAATTCAGCGGCGGCGGCGAGGACCTCCCAGCAGGCCCACAAAGGCGAAGACGAGGGGGGGTAGCGGCGTACCTCTTCCACTTCTGGGTGCAGGCTTGACCCTCGACCCCGCTCGCCCCCCCTCGCTCCCCCTCGCTCCCCCATCGATCCTCCTCGATCCCCCCTCGATCCCCCCTCGCTCCTTCCTCGATCCCTTCGCTGCTCCTTGATCCCTCCTTGATCACCCTTCGACCTTCCCTCGATCCTTCCTGGACTTCGAACCCCTGCGCCGAGCCGCGGCGCCGAGCGCCCGCCCGCCGCCCGCCCGCGCCAAACGCCCTGGCCGAGGCCCGCGCGGGCCGGTACGCGCCGACGGCGGGGCGCGGCGGTGCGCTGGCGGGCCTCGCGGCCGCCGCCCGCGACCACGACGACGACGCTGACGACGACGACGACGACGGACGACAACGACGTCGCGACGGCGGCGACGACGACGACGACGGCGACGGCGACGGCGACGGCGACGACAGCGGCGACGGCGACGGCGCCGGCGACGGCCACGACGGCGACGGCGACGGCGACGACCACGTCGGCGACGGCGCGCCCGGGCTGAAACAGGCGGGCACGGGAGGGGGCGGCTCGGAGGTCCTTATGCAGCTCGAAGGTCCTTCGGCGCCTTCGCAGGCCTTCGGAGCGCATTCGGAGGGCCTGGGACTCCACCGCCTCGGAGAGCGTCGCGGCCGTCGCCAGGGGGGAGCGACCTCGGGAAGCCTTCGGGGGCCCTTGAGCCCCAGATCTCCGACCCCAGACATGCTCCCGTCGTGGAAGAGTCCTGACGGGATGTGCTTCTTGCGTGCTCTTGGTCTCCGGGGGCAATCGCAGGGCCCTGGGACAGTCACGGCGCGACCAGCCAGAGGTGAGGGTCGAAACTTCTGGTGGCCACGCATGGAGAAAAATCCAGACATCGATCTCCGACAATGTTGTTCGGTGGTGCGCCCAGCGGGAACGCAGAAGGGGCGGGGTGTCCTCAGAAGGCTCAGAAGGCCTCCCGCCTTCTGAAGAGATTTCGGAACTTCCCCCGATGACATAAAAAACTTCTCAGAAGGCCGAAGGGTCTGTGATGAAAGAACGCCGCCTTCTGAGAAGACCTGCCCCTCTCATTTCTCCTCTCGGCGCGCCGTCAATACAAGACTTTCCGTTCAACATCTTGTGTGTAAAAAGATTACACGTAAAAGTTCGAAGACACGAATAACAAAAAAAAAACAAAAAAAAAAAAAAACAAAAAAAAAAAACGAAAACGACGTGGCCAACCGCTGTCTCCCGTTGTCTGCCGCTGCCTCTCGCGACGCCACCTGCCGCTACCTCAAATCAAGTCCCGCTGCCTCATGTTACTTTGTTCATTGGCAGTCGCAGTCGTCGCCGTCTTGGCACTACTATGGGTAAAACGATTGTAGTTGGTCTTGTTGCTTGTGTACTCGCATTCGTATCAACAACAGTATGTGTACTTATGTTTGCCGTACGCCTCGAATCAAGAACGGTTCCACTGGTATCACTACTCTCAGAGATGTTGCACAACATGGGAAAATCCGCCGATCTGGCGTGTGAGATTCTGAGGAGTGTGGACTTGAGCTCGCTCAAGATTCGCTCTGCAAGGAGGGGTGGACGCCATTCCCGACACATTTGTGCTCGGGGGTGGATGGGTCCACAGGCTCCCGAGAACCCCAGGAGGCTCTGGAAGGGGGGGGGGATTCCATTCCCGACGCATTTAATACTCGGGGGCGGGGGGGCCCACAGGCCCCCAGAAGCCCCCAGAGGTCCCAGGAGGCCCCCAAGAGGCCCGAAAGAGGCCCCAAGATGCCCCAAAACGACCCCCAAGAGGCTTCTCCAGGTCCCTTGCTCAATCCCCTGAGCCTCAGTCCTCAAGCATCCACCCAAAGCTTTCAAATCTCTTGATGCTCCCCGCGCGCCCTCTGGGGCCCCAAGAGCGTTCCCGCATGATTTTTCGAGCCCAAGAGAGGACCAATACGGGCCCACAATGCCCAAAGAGGCCCTCAAGACGGCCCAAGATACACCAGAGAAAAAGCCCAATCAATTGATGGCTGAAGAGATCGACAGGGAAAACGGGAGCCCAGGAACCCAAAACCCACCGAAACCGGCCCAAAACCAATGACCGGGAACCCGGGGACCGGGAACCCGGGAACCCAGCCTGCTACCAAAATCGGCGGGAAACTTTTCTGCCAAATCTTGCAACTTCCGCTAGGACCCCTCCAATGCAAGCACTGATTGAGGAAGCAAGCGAATTTACAAACAGAACATAGTCCTTGCGCAAAACCTCTCACTCCGGAAAGATGTTCAAATCTTCGTGTGGTGGGGCTCATGTCGGGCATTTCCAGCGATAATCCAAAACCGGACACAAAACACTTCGCCCGTGGGGGGAGGAAAGCCGTGGTCGTAGCAGTTGATGGGAATGAGAATACTGATGGCTTAATCCTACAGATCGTACTCGGAGTCCTCGTAGTAGGAATCGTCGTAGTAGCAATCGTCGTCGTCGTCGTCGTAGTAGTAGTAGTAGTCGTAGCAGTAGTAGTAGTAGTAGTAGTAGTAGTGGTAGTAGTAGTAGTAGTAGTAGTAGTAGTAGTAGTAGTAGTAGCAGTAGTAGTAGTAGTAGTAGTATTAGTAGTTGTTGCTGTAGCAGTAGCAGCAGCAGCAACAGCAGCAGCAGCAGCAGCAGTAGCAGTAGTAGTAGTAGTAGTAGTAGTAGTAGTAGTAGTAGTAGTAGTAGTATTTGCAGTAGTAGTAGTAGTAGTAGTAGTAGTAGTAGTAGTAGTAGTAGTACTAGTAGTAGTAGTAGTAGTGGTAGTAGTAGTAGTAGTAGTAGTAGTAGTAGTGATAATAGTAGTAGCAGTAGTAGTAGTAGTAGTCGTAGTAGTAGTAGTAGTAGTAGTAGTAGTAGTAGTAGAAGTAGTAATAGCAAGTAGTAGTAGTAGTAGTAGTAGTAGTAGTAGTAGTAGTACTAGTACTAGTCCGAGTACTAGTAGTAGTAGTAGTAGTAGTAGTAGTAGTAGCAGTAGTAGTTGCAGTAGTAGTAGTAGTAGTAGTAGTAGTAGTAGTAGTAGTAGTAGTAGTGGTAGTGGCAGTGGTAGTTGTAGATGTAAGAAACTTCAATCTACGATTCGCACTCTCTGGTGATAATGAAGCTCGGCCCCGCCGCTCCCCACCGCTGACCATTGGCCGGAGATAGCCAACACTCAGGTATTAAGGGGGGGATGCTTTATGATTCGGGCCATGCGGATAGCTCACTCGGGGTGGATCCCTAGATTCCCCGTATTTTCCTAATGGCCAATTGGGGGGGGGAACTGGAGGACTGGGGGAGAACCGTCACCTGCGAAGAGGGACGCCGAGGGCCGCCGGCGCGGGCCTCGTCAGCCCGAAGCCCGCGGGCTTGGGCCAACTGCCCTCGGACGCACCCTGCGGCCGCCCCGGCGGTTGGCGGGCGCCGGGCGGGCGCCCTCCTCGGGGGGCCGCCGGGGGGAGGCTCGCCGTCGCCGCCGTCGCGGCCGCCGCGCGGCCCTCGCAGGCCTCGAGGGGTCTTCGCGGGCCCTCGGAGGGCCTCCGAAGTCCTCGAGGGCCTTCGGAGGCCGTCGGAGGCAGCTCAAAACGGCCTGTCAGGGGCTTCTGGAGGGCCTCCCGCGGCCTTCCGTCGACGACAGCATGTTCGATGTCGACGCCGCAGTCGCCGGAGGTCCTCGGACGCTTCTCGAAGTTTGGGGGGGTTCGGGCGGCCACTTTCTCCAACGAGGGGGTGGAAGGGTGAGGAGATAGGAGCACGCAGGGAGGAGGGGGGAGGACGGTAGGAAGACGGTTACGGTTACGGTGAACACGCGGCGAGCAGTTGCGGGACTGCGCGCGCAAGATTCAGATGCCGCAGTCGACCACGATCGCGTCTGACCCCAAGCAATAGACACGAAGTCGACGGGTGACATGTGGCAAAGAACAGCAAGTCCCACATCATTACAACCAGCGCAATCCAACCGATAACTCAAAGTAAAAAACGCCGCGAACATTAGAAAACCAACCCCGTTACGTAAGTAATGACGCCGCCCAGCCGCTACACACACGTGCCCACTAACCACGGCATGACAGCACTGCCCACGTACCATCATCGAAGAAGACCAATTACCACCCCAACGGGAAACTTTGTAGAATCCCACTGGCACCGAAAAATAACCACTCTGGTCCCTGCCGTCAGGCAAGGGGCGTGGAGCGGGCTGGGCTAGTCTTCACAACACATACACACACGTATCCGCACCGCTCACCAGGAAGCTCAGCCCCATGAGAACGGGGAGAATCACTGGGAACCCGCGATGCTGCTGGCGGAGGTGCTGGCGATTGGCAGTTGCGCCGACGTAGTCACCGCTCAAAACGTAAATGGCGATGCTGAAGGCATAGGCGCTAACGCTGGAGCCGTTGTTAGTGTAAGAACCGATTCTGGCGATGCAGCAACACCACGCACACGAAAGTGGGGACGAACGAATTCAACCCCGCGTTGCCTGGAACACTAGGACCTACAGCGGCAGGGAACCGCGCAACATCCAATATTGAGTTATTGGGTCCCAAGGCGACGGCCGAGCGGCGCTGCAAGGGACCGCTCGAGCCACCGTGGTTTGACGGGCAGGGCAGGGGGTGGGAGGAAGGGAGGAGGAGGGTAAGGAAGGACGTGGAGCTGAAGGATGTTGGAGGGGGCCACGGGAGGCCAACACGAAGGCCGAGGTGATCCCAGAGGTGGCCCGAGGTGCCCGCAAGCTAAGCTCCTGCGACAACTCCAGGCTGGCCCCCCCCCGACCGCAAAAACATGCCAGTCAGGGCTGATGTTCTCAGATGAGGGGCCCCTTCCTCTTCCTGTCCGTACCCGTCCCACCCCCCGTGACCCCCTCTTGACGTCGTCCTCTTACTCCGCCTCCCTGCCATTTCTTCCCCCCTCACCCCCATCCTCGTCAAGCCTCTTCATCCTGCCCCTTCTCTACGTCCCTCCTGCGTCACGAAAAAAAAAAGCTCACATAATGCTCCTTGATTCCAATTGCTGTCTGTAGATGGTACTAGAATCACCTGAAACTGTGTTTGTGCGATGCATGCGAAGTGTGTCATTCCGATAACATGCGTGACCTTCCAGACGATTGTACAGAAAGAGCCAAAGCGTCTCGACAGTTACATATCAAGGATCGCGGATGTGCTCTGGCCATAGATCTTGTCATTTGTCGGGGCAATGAGCCAGAGGCCTCATCCCTCCTTACCTAGAGCTGCCGCTTCTTGAATGGACCATTCCAGCCAGACCATTCCATTACATCCCGTCCTCCTCCCCCATCCCCCTTCCCAGCTCCTCCTCCTCCTCCTCCTCCTCCTCCACGGCGAGACGGCTCCTCCAGGCACGACGGCGCGGATCGCCGCTATCCTGAGCGGGCGTTCGGCCAGAGGGGGGCAGGGGGCATCCGTCTGGCGGCGGGGGCGCCGCCACGGGTTGGGGCCAACATCGCGGTAAGCGAAAGGAGCAACAGAGCACCCCCACCCCCACCTGGCCCACCCGCCCAGAGGGTGGGGGACCAGGTTGGGGTGGGGTGAGTGTGCATATGCGTCGAAGAAACAACACCTTCTCACACACGCACTCGCACACACAAACACAAATGTTGTGTCCTTTCTTTGGCCCAGCCCCGGGGAGTGGGAGGCGCTGTCTTTCCCCAACAACCAGGGACGATGCAAACCCAATCTTTCTGCTGCACCCCTCGAGCTGGATCGATCCGCGACGGCCCCACGATCGAAACCCGGGCGAGACCGCCCGGCGTGGAAACAAACTGCGGCGTCCAAACCTCCGCGTTCTGAGATTAGGTCGGGAGTGTCCCCCTACAGACGGCTTTTGGGCGACAAATGAAACAAAAACCCAAAACATACATCAAAATAGCCCAAAACCAGCATAAAACAAAGTGTCTCCAAACTATATTGGAACTATTTCTGAGTATTCCTCCTGTAGGGGGACAGGCCCGACGTAAAGCCGGTTTGCCCGGCACTTCCGGGGGCCAGCGGCGCCCGTGCATCGAGGAAAGCGCCTGGCAGCGGGGCCGAGACCAGCTGACGCAGCAGAGTTCGCACCCCCACCCTCCCCCTGCCCCCCCCCTGCCGTCCGACCTGATGGTGGGGGTCAAGACGACGGGACGCGCATGGGTCGGGGGATCGAGGCTCGATTAGCAGGAGCGAGGCTGAAGGAGGGACCTGTCCGTTTGAGAAAACAAAGCGCCAGCAAAGACTAAAGATTATTTCGCTCCGCGCGGATGTCTTGGATCTGCGCTGGACCCCCCTCCCTGGCGCGCGGAGCGCGCCAGGGGCGGCGCCTCCGCCTCGGGGGGGCTCAGCGCGGATCCAAGAAACCCGAACGGAGAGCTTCAGATTTATGTTTACGGCGTGATTTCTTCTCCGACTTTTGCCATATCGGCTCGCGGAGTCTAGTCTGTCGGACTGAGAACGGCTGTCGCTGCATGTCCGCCCTCTCCGCTGCGTCTCCAGCGCGAGGACCTCCCCCCTCTCCCGTCCTCCCCTGGCGGGGGCTGGCCAAAAATATGCCCACATCAGGAATCAACCCAAACCGTATTTTTCGTTTGTCGTTTTGCTTTCGTTTTCCCCTTTCCTATCTTCGATCCGCATCCACTGCAGAACGGAGTCAAAATGAAAACGGTCCACGAAATCGCAGAAACACCGTTTAGGGTTTAGGTCGAACCTTGGTCAACATCGTCGCCCAGGCATGCCGCCGTCGTAGAAGCCGCCTGCCAATCACGGCGCTCGTGTTGCCTGGTTCGGCCACAGGCGGACGAAGCGACAGCGACCCCCCAGCTCGACGTCATGCAACAGATATCCAGCCCCTTGGCGACCTGACATGTCCCCACCCCCTCCTACACCACCCTGGAAAAATAATCAAACTTTTGCAAGTCGCGTCGACGAATCGTCCAAGGGACTTCCCAAGGGGGTGTTGTTCATCCTTGGTCCGTTTCTGGCGGTCTCGGGTGCGAGAACTGTCCCGAATGCAGAACACTACCGAAAACGAAGGCGACGAAAACAAACACATCTACAATTAATGCTGCAGTACTTGTTTCTGGGTAATGTAAAACCAAAAGATATCGATATCGCTACAATACTCTCCGGACCTCTCCCGGGGTGAGATCTGACCAGAATTTCGAAGCGAATCCAGCGATGGCGACAATCGCCGCCCTGGAGGCCCAAAAAGAGGAACACGAGGGGAAGGGTAGCGGTATGGGTACCTTGTCCTTGACGCTCGCCGCTGATCCGACCTCCTGCGGATGTGCCCCCCTCCCGCCGACGGGCGCCGATGGCCGCCTGCTGGCCAGCTCTGCGTGGGACGCGGCGCCCGACGGCGCCGCCTGCGGGCCCGACTGCAGCGGGACGCCGAAGCGCGGCCTGGCGCGCGCCCGCCCCTGCTGCACGTGAGAGTGCAGACCCCTGGGCAACCACGAAGCACGAAGCACGACGTGAGACGAAGTCAGGCCGAGGAAAGATTCGGGTGAGGATGAATCGAGAATCTCTGAGATCCCGCGGCTCTGGAGGATCCCTCGGCCTTCTCAGAGCGGTCAGGAGCGCTCTGAGAGCTCTCTGGGACGCTCTGGAACGGATTGATCCTCGTCCTATCTCCGACCGACCTGGGCAAGCACGAAACACGATGCACGAAGCGTGCCGCGGTGGGCCGCGAGGGCCAGGCAAGATGGCACTGGATCGCAACATTACTCGAGCGATGGAACATACAACAACATTGGGTGGTAGAGTACTGGCAAACGGACAGGCAAACAGACCTCTGCTAAAGAGGAAGGGAGCAGGAACAGCAAGAGGAGAAGGAAGAGGAGGAGGGGGAGGAGGAAGAAATGGCGGGTCGGGAAAGCCATCAATCACAGAACGACTCCTCGTAAGCACTCCAGTCGTTCGCGCACGCTGACCCAGGGCAGGGCTGGCCTTTCAGAGGCCCCACATGGGTTTCGGACGTGTCGGGAGCTTCTTAGAATCTGAACTTTCAGGAGGCGCTCGATACCCGAGGTGGCTTCCATCAACTGCGCCTCGTCGAGGGCGTTCCAGGGGTGCCGGAATCGTTCCAAAGGGCCTCCAGAGAGCCGAATGGTGAACCGAAAGCCAACGTCAGGGGGAAGGTGGAGGCCTCCCAGGTGGGGTTGGAGCAGATGGGATCGGAGGATCGCGCCGCATCGCCGATGCATAGGCGACATCGACGGTGCGTTGGCGACGTCGGCGTGGAGAAGCTCGCGCTCCACATCGAGCCGCGTCGCCGATGCATCGGCGATGCTGCGGCGCAACCCTCCTACCCCATCTATCGCCGGACCAAGGATAGCGGAACACCATTCAAGAACTGAAGAACCCTCGAGAGTGCCCTCCCCAGAATGCAAAAGCACATTCAACAAACACAAAGAACATCGGTCGGTAGTTCAAAGATGGGGTAGATGCGGTCCTGAGGGATGGGGTCCTACGGATTGGAAGGGATCCCAGGGTAGGTGTACATTGCTTGACCCACCTCGTCCTCAGGACCCGCTTCCCCTCCGGACCCCATCTTTGAAACACCGAATCAAGTTGCCCTCCCCGAGCCGACTTCGATCGTATACCTCGGGCCGACCGGACATGTGGGAGGCGTACAGACTTCGGTGCGAGCCCTTCGGGGGGCGCGCCACGGGCGGGGAGCCACGCGTGCTGGTCGGTGCATGCTCGCGTGCTGGGGGGGGCCCTGTGAGCCCGCACGGTCACTCTGGCGAGGGGTCCCTCAGACGGTCGGCCTTACTACGTGCGTGCACAGAAGGACTACGCTGGCGTGACACATCGACACATCGACTTCGTAAAGCAAAGGCTTGACGGGTTGTTCCACCATGGTCAACATCAAAAAAAAGATGGCTTCTCGCATTGGCCGACCCCCCCCCGTCCCCCCTCGTCGTTGCCGCCGCCAACCGGGAAGGGAGCGGGAACCACGGCCAACCGCGATGTTGGTCACGGCGATGTTGGGAGTCTGGTTTTTGCGACGCCGTGCTCGCGCAGAACACGCGAGCAACGCTTTCCTATAATCGGGCCGCCCCCCTACCATACCGAAACCCACATCGCCGTTAGCTACATCGCCGTTAGCGTGTCTACGGGGGAAGTTGAGTGATTGCTGACACGGCCGAGACCAGGTCAAGCCTGTGCAATCCACCCCAGCCAATACATCACGCAACCCTGCACATCCAAGTCACGGCTCAGGGAACCCCGCTCCACGCTTTGGCGGCAGGCCTCGACGGAGGGGAGATGAAACACTGGCGCTCGCTTTGGCCTGGCGTACGACACCCCACCCCCACCCCACCCGGCTCCGCCGTCGCTGCCTGGGAAGAGGGGGGAGGGGGAAAAAGGGCGAGTGGAAACCGGGGGACTTGAGCGTCATGTGGTGCCTGTGGGACGTGTGGGACGTGTGGGGCCCGTGTGAGCTGTGGGACGTCTGCGACCACCTGGATCTGTGGAGCCTGTGGGACGAGCGGGCCCGTGAGACCTGTGGGGTGGTGTGGGGCATGTACTACGACCTTTGGGACCTGTGGGACCTGTGTGGCCTGCTGGACACTTGAGACCTGCATGACCTTTGGGACCCGTCGGGCAGGTGGGAACTATGGCCTTGTGCGACCTGTGGGGCCTGTGGGACATGCGGAAAATGTAGGACCCCTGTGGTATGTAGGACCTCTGAGACCCGCGAGAGCCGCGAGACCTGCGACACCTGCAAGACCTGCGAGACATGTGTGACATGTGGGACCTGTGGAACCTGTGAGACCTGTGGTACCTACCGGACCTGTGAGACCAGTGGAACACGTGGGGTCAGAAAGGGCATGTATGACCTGAACAACCTGCGGGACCTGTGGGACCTGTGAGACCTGTGGGACCTGTGGGACCTGTGGGACCTGTGGGGTCTGTGGAGCCTGTGGGGCATGCAAGACCTGTAATTAGGACCTGTTGGACTGGTGGGGCCTGTGGGACTAGCGGGACCTGTGGGACGCGAGAGAACTCAGGACCTGTAAGACTGGTGGGACCTGTGGAACCCCTGAGATTTCTGTGGCCTATGGGACTTGCTACCTGGTGAACATTTGGGACCTGTCAGACCTGCAAGACCTCTGGCACCCGTGCGGGACCGTGTCCGTCCGCACAAACATGTGACCGGCACTGGGGCGCAACAACCGCGATGTCTGCATAACTTGTTCGGGAATCCGAGGCGGAACGGCTGTCGGACCGCACGGTCTCGGCCTTCCCATCCCTCGGGGATGGGCAGAACTCCCTGTACCTGGCGGGCAAAAGCATGGAACATGACGGCCGCGGCGCCCTCTCGAGAACCGAAACCGGACAATTCACGAATCGACGTGTCAGGGTGGGGGTTCTGTCCACCCCCGACCCCCCCCCGCGGCAGCCGGCATTCTGGCGAGACCACGATTCCTGGATGACTTGTTGGGACAGCTCGGGCGAAGCGGCTCCCAGACTGGGCGGTCTCGGGCTCTCCCCGTGCCCCGTGGTGGCCGTCATTGAGGCGAGAGCACGGCTCCTGGATGAAACCAAGCAGCCTGAATACCACCTCCGAGACGCCCACGTGAGGCCTCCCACGCCATCGCATCAGCCGTCCGAGCGCCCTCCGACCCGCAACCCAGACAAGGTGGCGGGATACACCGCGGGCCATTCGAGAACCACTCTTCCGGTTTTTGGACCGATACCTGCCGTCTGTGAACGATGGTCCACAGGACCGCGCTCCCGAAAAAATCGAGGGGTCGGCGGATGTGGCGTACGCCTATAGTCGTGAGAAAGTCTGCTAAGGGAACGCTGCTAGGGAGAAACACCACGGATGGTATTGGGTCGTCTTAGGCCTCTGGGCCCCGGAGCTGCCCCCCGAAAAAACGACAGTGGATGGAAAAGCCGGCGGTGCCCACCCCAAAAACCACCAGAGGGGGATGGGGAGAGGTTTATGGTTTTGGTTCCCCCTACACCCCCCTGAAAGCCTCCCTCCAGGGAGGTGCTGGGGGTAGGGTAGGTTTGACGGGGGGGTGGGAGGAAGGTTTTTCCTCCCGCCCCCTCTCCAAGCAAAACTCTCCCAGGGGGTGGGTGGGGGGTGTAGGGTGTTGTTCCCCCCCACACGGGCACCTCTAAAAACCTCCCGAAGGGGAGTTCACTTTTTGTTCTGGGGGTAACTGTTTTCCTTCCCTTTGGGGAGGAGTCCAGACCACCAGGGGACCACGACGTGAAAAGATCGTGGCGTCGGCGATCTGGGGAGAAGAAGGGGCCTGGAACGGACACGTGAGGCAACACAGACACAGACCAGCATGGAAGAACAGCGGGAGGAGGCCCGGAGCCCAAGAGAGGGAAGGGGCTGAACCCACATGCTCCCCCACGCCACCCTGCCCCACATACTTCCCCAAGCCACCCTGCCCAATCTCACGTGCGGCGTAAGTCCAGAGCAAGGGCGGGTTCGGCGGTGGACAAACCTCCCTTTAGTAAACCTCCCCTTGGTGAAAACGGCCCAGGACCGACACCGACGGACCTGGACCCGAAAAAATGATGGCCGTGGCGCCCCCTCGCGAACCGAAAACCGCCGATTCCTGAATCGACGTCGATCCAGCACCTTGGCTGCCCCATGCTCTTGCTAAGAGAGGCGCTGCAGCCTCCGAGCGGCCTTTGAGCCCTGTAGGCCATGCACTCCTCAGCCCCGCCTCCCCGTTCCGATGTGAGGACGACGACGGGGACGCCGCCAGCCGAGGCGGCATGCTGCATCGCCAGGCAGCGCCCATCCCGGAAGCGCACGCACGCTGCACGCGCGAGGCAACGGGAGCCCCGGATGCGGAGGATGCAGAGAAGGGACCCAGCGAACCTGACTGCGCACTTCGCCTAGGCAGGGACAGACTTTTCCAGACGTCCGCCACCTGGAGATCCACAGTTGGCAACCGAGCTCTCCGAGTGCTGCTGCGCCGCTGGCATGCCTGCAGGTGCTTGCCACGAGAGCAAGAGGACAGGAAAGCTCGAGCCGGAGTCGTAGGCAAAGGGCGGCCCATGGAGGCGCACGCGTGCAGGCAGGCTGGCGCGTCTGCGCGCTCGTGCCAAGTATTGTGCAGGAGTTCTCTCCTCGAGGGAAGGCAGGGACGTAGGAAGGCAAGGGGAGTGAGAGAGGGCGGAGCAGAAAAGTGAGTGGGAGGAGGAAAGGGGCCCCGGGGGGGGAAATGCTGTAGAGCGGGCGCAGGAAATTGACGGCTCAAGTGAGCGCGGCCTCTTGTTCGGGTCCTGCCCGTATGCGGGCGCCGCGTAGGGCCGCTTCACCTGGCGCCACGAGCACTCTCCTCCGCTTCCGCCTGTGCCTCCACCTCCACCTGAACTTTCGATCTTCCTCCACCTCTCCTTTCTCATCCTCGGTATCCCCTCCCCTCCCCACTTCGCCTCTGCCTTCCATTCCCATTTCCATCTGCCTCCAGCGCTCCCGAATCATTCATGTGCGTTGTCAGTTTCTGACCTTTCTTTCCCTCCACCTTTGCCCCCCGTGCAGGCTCCACCTCCTCGTGCCCCCCACCCTCTTCCCTATATGTCCGCCACCGTGCTGCTGGGCTAGGCGTGGGCGTGCCCCCAAAGTCCTTTGCCCAGTCCCCTGAGCCTCAGTCCTCGATCCTGAGGAGTCTTTCAAGGGGCCCGGCCCCAATTTGCCAACTCTTTTTGGACTTGGCGCGGCTTTTCGGGGGCCTGTCGCGGCTTCTCGCATGACGTTTTCGAGCCCGATAAGGCTCCACGACGGGCCAACAGGGCTTCAAGATGCTCTCTAGACAGCCCATTAATTCCCGGAGACGCCCAACGATCGCCTCAAGACGCCCAAGATGGCCAAATATAACATACTAAACGCCCCAAGGCCCAAAGAGGCCAAAATCATTGAGTTTCCGTAGGTGTTTGACGGTGTTTCGCCTTTTCACCTTCCCCGACGCTTCCAGACGGCCCTCGAGGCCCCCAAGATCGCCCCAAGACGGCCTCCAAGGAGGAAACCCCAAACGGCCCACGAGGGCCCCAAGATTGCCCAAGAGGCGCCTGAGAGGCCACAACGACGACTCCAAGAGGGGGCCCAGATGGGGGGCCCGAACAGACAGTTCGAACTCTCGGCCCCGAGGGGCCCCCAGAGAGGCCCCAAAAGGCTTCCAAGAGGCCCCCAAGAGGCCCCCAAGACGGCCCAAGAGGCCCCCAAGAGGCCCCCAGGAAGCCCCAAAAGGCCCCCAAGAGGCTCCCAACCAAAACTGCCTCCCAGAAGACTCCGAGGGCACTCCGAAGAGACCCCAAGAAGCATCCCTTAGAATTCTGACCCATAACCCAGGCACGGTGGCGGATGGTCCGAAGGCCACTAGATAAGCCATGGGCCTGTTGCCACAGATCTGCCCAAGATGATCCAAAAAGCCCAGGTGATCCTCCGCTATCAGATAGCTGAAAACACAAATGCGCACTTCTAAAAAAATCACTCTCTACGAAAATCAGAGCACACGCTGTGTCTGAACAGATTTGCCAGCTTGGGCCGCAAACAGTGAGTCGCTACGCTATGTAGATGTACGGTATGGAGTGCCATAGACGTGGCGCAACACATGCCATGCAAGATATGAGGTGCAAGCTGTGTTGTTGAACGCATTCGCTTTAAGCTATTCAGTGGAACCTGTGTGATGTACGGCCGGCATGCGGCGCATAAGCTGTGCGGTACACCATGCTTGGTGTAAGCTATGTGGTGTGAATGAAAAGATGTAGGTATGATCTACGCGGTGTCAGCTATGAGGTGACAGCTCTGTGACAAAAGCTCTGCTGTGCAACATATGTGGCGCAGAGGACCGCCAGCGAAGACGATCTGCCCGACCTCTTGATCCCTCCCCTCGGGGTTACTTGTTTGACGCTTCCTTCAGGCCACGATAGCAAACCCGGCGGGCCCACAAATGCGAACACCTTGCCGTGTCGTTCATCGCAAGCCGCTGAATGTCGGGTTCTTCGTGTTTGTGCTTGCTTGTGTGCGTGTGCGAGTGGCGACCCCGTGCCTTGTACTTCTACTGATTCCGCCTTGTCGCTGTGCGCGAGGCCGCTTCCGCCAATGTGTGTGCGTGCGTGCGTGCGTGCGTGCGTGCGTGCGTGCGTGCGTGCGTGCGTGCGTGCGTGCGTGCGTGCGTGCGTGTGTGTGTGTGTGTGTGTGTGTGTGTGTGTGTGTGTGTGTGTGTGTGTGTGTGTGTGTGTGTGTGTGTGTGTGTGTGCGTGCGTGCGTGCGTGCGTGCGTGTGTGTGTGTGTATGTGCGGGTGGGCTCCCAGTGTACCTGAGGCCAAGGCGGCAGTGGAGAGCAGGAGAGCGGAGAGGGGGGGGAGGAGAGCTAGACGGCAACTTCTGGAAGGCCTTCGCAAGAACGACTAACCGTTATAATCAATGACCATTGGGCCACAGTAGAGGGTCGATTAGACCTGCTGAGCCCCTGGCCTTAAGACGGTGTCAGGCAAAGCATTTAACCAGCGCCGAGGCTGAGTTGAACCTCCCAGAAGCTGCAGCCGAGGGAGAGAAATGGGAACCCAGACCCCCGATGTCATATTTGTTCAAAACGTGGACCACTGGAAGTCTAGACCCACTGCAAGGGATGGCCCCGAAAGGATAAACACAGCCAACAACACCTTGCGTCGCGTTTCCCTCGTAGCGCCTCGGTAGAAGGCGTCAGAAACCGAAGGGGAGTTCCACTTGTGGGACAGGGAGCCCGAGACCGCGCGGTCCAGCAGCCGTTCCGCATGAACCTTCCTCACATGTATTCAGAAACCGTGCTCTCGCCCCCATGCCGGCTGCAGATTTGGTCCGCACGGCGATCCGCACTTTCAACAAATTTGGAAGCCTAGAAATGGGCACCAACACCAATACAGGGGTTTGCCTCCACAGGGGGAAGATGATCCTAGATTTCGGTGTTGGTGGTAATATTTCGGTCACCTTGAAGCCAGAATATTACCACCATCACCGAGATCGGAATCTTCTTCCCTCGGTGGAGATACACCGCCGATATTGGTGTTGGTGTCAACCTCCAGGCCTGCGACAAATGCGCTCAGGTGCGCATGGCCGTGCTCTCACCCCTGCCACTAGCTGCCCCTCCCGCACATGGACATTACGTGTCCGACCATGGACCCTGGTTGACCGTGGGCCCTCTCGGCGGTTTGAACCTTGCTGGGATCATCGTCTCACGACGCGAGGGGGTTCTGGGTACACCGACGCTGCGTGTTCGACCATAGGGGCCCCTGCTGGCCCATGGGCCCTCGGCGGTGTTTGGCGGTCCCTGGTGGTCTCTGGCGACCTCTGGCGGTCTTCTGCGCGAGAGCTGGACAGGTGCGGTCACCAAAGGGTCCGTTGTCGAACGCCTAACGGACGCGCGTCGTCCCCGCCCGCCGCCCGTCACCCCCGCGGCGCCGCCGAAGGCGGGTATCCCGGGAGCCCGGGCCGGCATGGCGCCCGCGCGCATCGGCACGGGTCCGGGCGCCATCGCCTGTGCGCCACGCTGCAGGGGGGGCAGCGACGGGAAGGAAGGCAGTAACACACCAGCTCTGGCATTGCTCCATTGGCGGGCGATAATTACCTGGGGGAGGGGGAAGCGTGCACCTGTCATGCCCCTTTGGGGCCCCTGTGGGGCCCCTCACGGGCGCAGAAGGGGCACCTTTCTTCACCCCCATCATCGCCCCGCAAGTACGCATCGCCCGACCAGCTGAGCGACTAAATACCCCGGGTCTTACGCACAATGACATTGCGACCTGGCGCCGCGGCTTACGCGGGCCGCCAGCGCGGCACGCCACCTCGGATACGCGGGCGCTTAGGCGCGACCCCACGCGGGCAACTTACGAGGCGAACCTCCGCGCAGCCGGCTCAATGTTCGTCCGAGTTCCGCGCGGCTGAAGGGTGGCCGTGCTGTCGCCGCCCGCGTCGGGGCCAGTCGCGTCCCCCGCGGGCCCGCCCTCGGGAGGAGGGCGCTCCCGCTGAACGCTCGGACTCACAATCGAGCGCGTGCCACCACGGACGGAGAAGTGCGAGGAGGTCAGGGGGGAGCCCAGCGGAGCCCGTCCGGGCGGCCCCTGCGGCGGCCGAGCGGGCTCTGGCGAGGCGTACGCTTCGGGTCTGTATGTCTCTGGCCCGTGGCGGATGCAGAACTCAACGAGAATCGTAGCACCGCCTGCTTCACTGCAGCTTCTGCAGAGCCATCGCACAGATAGTGAGCAAGAAGAGGCAAGGCTTACACACGCGCGGACCCGCCTAAAAGCGCCAGAAGAGCTCGAGAGTGGGAAGACTCAAAGGAACCGATACTGCTACTCCTGGACCGCTCCTGGCGTGCTGTCTGACCAGGATTTCGAGGCGAATCCAGCTGGCGACGAGGGCCTCCCAGGAGGCCGAACAAAAAAAGACCACGGGCGGAGGACAGCGGTATATGGGTACTTTGTCCTCCTCCGAGGGAGGGGGCCCCAGGAGCGGGCCCAGCAGCGGACGCGCCGTGGACCGCGAAAGTGGGGCAGCGTTACGTCGGGCGTGTCCCCCTACAGGGGGGTTTTGGGCGAAAGCATGACAAAAATGCCCCCCCCCCAAAAAAAAACCGCAGATGGGCAAAAATAGGCAAGAAGTCCTCCCCGGACTACTCGTTTGACTCTTCCTGGATATTCCTCCTGTAGAGGGGCAGGCCCGACTTGAGGGCAGCGGGAAGGAAGAGCTGGGCCGGGGCTGCGGGCGCGGAGCGCCGGGGAGGGTGCCAACCGTGGCCGCGCCGGGGCCCCGCCCTCTCCGGCCAAGTCCATATACGGTCGGCGAGCTGCCCGCGGGCGCCTTAGAGGGAGCACTACTAGACGAGCGCGCTCCACTACTCGCAAAGTGACTGCTCGCAAATGGCCTGGATCCGCCGTGGGGGATCTACGATAGATTACATCGAGGGAGAGGGTTTACGTCGGACGTTTGCGAGTAGGCACTTTGCGAGCAGTGGAACGCGCTCGTTGACTGACGGCCAGCCGCGGGCGCAGCGGCACGGCGGCGCAAAACGCGTGCAGAATGCACTGCGCAGTGCGTCTCCCAGGAGCCGGCATGAGAAGGACGTGGTGGTCGTCGTCGCCGTCGCCACCGTCGCCGTCTTCGTCGTCTGAAGGGGCCCTGGGACACACAAATAAATACACACAAATAAAAATATTCCCCATATTTCCCTATATTTTCTGGGTTTCTGTCTTCCCCACCACTTCCCATATTTTCCCATATTTTCCTGGGAGTGGACGATTAATTGTGTCTGTGTGTTTCTTTTCCTCCTGATCGTCGTTGTCGTCATGGTCGTCTTCGTCGTTCCGTCGTCGCGGTCGTCCTGGCACTCGAGGTCATCGTCGTCGTGCTTCTCGTCGTCATCGATGTCGCCCTTGTCGTCGCCACTGTCGTCGTCATCGCGAGGTGAATCCATTGCACAGCAGAATAATGAATGCTAGTTGTTTCCGTTCTCTCCATGTCCACTTTACACTACGAGAAGCGCAGACTTCTATGGTGTCCGCGCCCTCTGCGATGCCACATGGCGGGGGGAAGGGTTGCCATGTGATGAGCAGGGCAGCATTCATATGGTTCCGCCCCGAACGGTGCCAAACGACGAGTGCTTGACGATCGCAGAAATCTGGCGGAGGTCATGCAATTTTCGACGGATCCCTGGGAATTCCGTGGGGTCCTCGTGGGTGTGGACTGGCATCAAGCCCAAAGATGCAGAGGAGGGGTGGGAGGGGGCATGGGAGTTGGACTCGGGCTGGGGAGGTACAAATCAACGGGCGAAGAACGGTCCCCGACGGTGGAAAAATTAATGTTGTACCGTTCTTCGCCCTGGTAGCTCGTCGTCGCCGTGGTCGCCGTAATATGTTCAGTGTCATTGTCCTCGCCTGCGAACGGAGAACAATACTGACTGTTTCCTGTCTTTCTTCTTTCCGCGTTGCCATGTGACGGGTCGACATGAATTCTGTGTGATTCCGCCCCCCATCCCCTGCGTTGCCCCGTGGCGAGTATAATAGAACAGTCGTTGTATGCCCCCGTGCGTTGCCACGTGGCGAATATGGTAGGATGGCAGTTCTTCCCCCAGGCGTTGCCGCGTGACGAATGCATAGCGACCTTACGCCGCGACTTACGCGGGCCGCCAGCGTGGCACGCCGCGCGGAGAAGAGGGCACTGCACCCTGGTTGGAGGTCTCACTCTTGAGGTTCCAGATGGGGTTCGAGCAGGTGGGGTCGGAGGATCGCGCGGCATCGCCGATACGTCGCCGACGCATCGGCGACGTCGGCGATGCATCGGCAACGTGGGCGTGGAGAACGTCGGCTCCACATCGAGCTACATAAGCCGCATCGCCGATGCGTCGGCGATGCGGTGCGAGCCTCCGAGCCCATCTACGCTGGCCTAATTCGAAAGGGCAGGGCCTTTCGGGAAACGACAGAAATATCCATGCTACTGCACGCACCGATCCTGCGGCGCATTCTGGCCACGATCTCTGAACGAATTCAGCAAGGGCCAGGGGAAAGTGCAACGAAATCGTGCGGTGACGACTTCGGCGCTAGTTTCTGACACCGCATGGATCCGTCAACCTTGAGCGAACCAGGCTTCGAGACAGCGCAGATGATTCGATGTCAGCCGAGCCCAAGCGACCAGCGGCGTGCAACCTTTCACGCCCGCGCTGGGGTCGCCTCCGCGTCAACACATGAACATACCGTAGCGGCGATGCATCACCGATACATCGGCGACGTCAGCGATGCATTTGCAACGTCGGCGTGTAGGAAATCGGGCTCCACAGTGAGCCGCCTCGCCAATGCGTCGGCGACGCGGCGCGATCCTCCGACCACATCTGTCCAAGCACACCAATCTTCCGAGCTGCGCCCAGCAATGGTTAGGAGGGGCCCGCTGGAGGCCAACTGGCGTTGTCTCCAGTGACCCACCCTCCGAAAACCTCGGCAAGCAGGCCAGCGGCCGCGGCGGGGCCGAGCGCCCGAAGACCTCGAGAACCTCGGCAGCAGAGCAGCGGCACAGGCGGGGCCGAGCGCCCGAAGACGCGCTCAGGAACTCAAGGGGGGGGCTGCGAGGTACGGATACAGCTGCTCCGAAGACCTCTTCGTGGGTGCGTTCTGGCCAGAATTTGGAGGCAAATCCAGCTGCGTCGGCGACGGCCTCCCTGGAAGTCCAGCGAGGCGAAAACAACTGCCACCTACCGCTGTCTCAACTCGCCCCCTCTGAGTGCCTAGACATGCGATGTCCTGACTTGTTTCACTACTGTGTCCCTGGAAGTCCCGACCCCTTCCCCGGGGACGGTTGGTTCGGCAGCGACGAAGGGGGCGAATAGCCCAGGGGAGAGAAATACATGTAGCCAGGGGCGCCGATGGTCCATGCCTTCGGCGAGGCTCCTGGGCGAATAACTGGGACATTCCGCCCTGTCAGCGTCGCCTCTGATCTTCGTCGCGAGTCGGCTTTTGACGCTCTTGAGGCCCAGCGAGGGCACCGGGAGGCCGAACATTGATACTTGTTGGGACTCTCCCCTGATGCGCCCACGACGCCCGCACGTCGGGGTTAAGATCGGGCATGTCCTGCTACAGGCGGCTTCTGGAAGGAGAAATACAGAATAGACTCAGCAAATTCAAAACTAGACGAGCGCGTTCCACTACTCGCAAAGTAACTACTCGCAAATGGCCTGGATCCCCAGCGGAGGATCTACGATAATTGACATCTTAGCGGACATGTGTATTTTTTTCGGACGTTTACGAGTAGGCACTTTTTGAGTAGTGGAACGCGCTCGGTGAACACCGAAGCAAGATGAGCATGGGAATCGTCACCATACTGTTGACCAGCTATTCTCGACTATTCCTGCTGTAGAAGGACGTGGCCGACTTAACGTTGGGACTCTCCCGGATTGTTCCTCGACGCCCGCACGTCCGAGCCCCCCGCGGCCTCCCCCGGCGGGGCGAGGGGGGGGGGGCGGCCCCGCGCCTGCAGGAAGGCAGGCCCAGGCGCCGCGGTGGGCCCGGCAGGCCGAGGGGCGCCAAGGCCTCCCGGCGCGGGCGTCGTCGTCGTCGGCGTCGTCGGCGTCGTCGGCGTCGGCGTCGTCGGCGTCGTCGTCGTCGGCGTCGTCGGCGTCGTCGTCGCCGTCGTCGGCGTCGTCGTCGTCGTCGCCGCCATCGTCGTTGCCAAACAACTTCGGCTCGATCTTGCCATGCATCTTCGTCTCGGCTGCGCCAATGCTTGCAAGAGTACTTGAGGACGCGCTGATGACGCCCATCTTCACCTCACATCCACCATGGATCGCCCGCGCTGCACAGCTGCGAAGTGCGCGCGGGCAAGGCCCCTTTGGGCCCGCGGCGGCTAAGAGAGGAGGAGGAGGATGAGGAGGAGAGAGTGCTTGGTTTTCCCGGCGGGCCGTACTAGTACGCCAGAGTACGCCTACTAGTACGACCCGGCGGGTCGTACTAGTACGCCGAAGTACGCCTACTAGAACGACCTGCGGCGCCCGAGAGGCGTACTCGTAGAGCAGAAGTACGCCTACTAGTACGACCCGGCGGGTCGTACTAGTACGCCGAAGTACGCCTACTAGTACGACCCGCGCAGCCCGGGAGGCGTACTCGTAGGGCCGAAATACGCCTACTAGTACGACCCGGCGGGTCGTACTAGTACGCCGAAGTACGTCTACTAGTACGACCCGCGGCGACCGGGAGGCGTACTCGTAGAGCAGAAGTACGCCTACTAGTTCGCCCCGCTGGGTCGTACTAGTACGCCGAAGTACGCCCACTAGTACGACCCGCGGGGCGAAGGAGGCGTACTCCTAGGGCCGAAGTACGCCTACTAGTACGACCCGGCGGGTCCTACTAGTACGCCAAAGTACGCCTACTAGTACGACCCGCGGCGCTCGGGAGGCGTACACGTTGGTCCGAAGTACGCCTACTAGTTCGCCCCGCTGGGTCGTACTAGTACCCCGAAGCACGCACACTAGTACGACCCGCGGGGCGAATGAGGCGTACTCCCAGGGCCAAAGTACGCCTACTAGTACGACCCGGCGGGTCCTACTAGTAGGCCCGGGGTACGCTACTAGTACGACCCGCGGCGCTCGAGAGGCGTACTCGTTGGTCCGAAGTACGCCTATTAGTTCGCCCCGCTGGGTCGTACTAGTACGCCGAAGTACGCCCACTAGTACGACCCGCGGGGCGAAGGAGGCGTACTCCCAGGGCCGAAGTACGCCTAGTACGACCCGGCGGGTCCTACTAGTAGGCCAGAGTAGCCCTACCAGTACCCCCCCCCAACCCCCCAGGGCCGTACTAGTACGGCAAAGTAGTCCTACTAGTAGCTCTGCCGGGGCGGACTTTCGGGGACGTCTCGAGCAGAGGCTCACTCCGCCGGTCGTACTAGCAGCCCAAAAAAACCCTACTAGTAGCCCCGGCGGGGCGGACTTTCGAGGATGTCTCGAGCGGAGGCCCCCTCCGCCGGTCGTACTCGTAAGCCAAAGTACCCTACGAGTACGCCCCCGCCACTCTCCCAGGGACCGTACTAGTAGCCCAAAGTAGCCCTACTAGTAGCCCCTCCAGGGCGAACTTGTGAGTATGTCTCAGGGGGGGCTCTCTCCGCAATTCGTACTAGTAGGCCAAAGTAGCCCTACTAGTACGCCTCCGCCAACCCCCAGGACCGTACTGGTAGGCCAAAGTAGCTCTACTAGTAGCCCCGCCGGCCATCCCCCCGGGTCCGTACTAGTAGGGCTACTTCGGCCCTACTAGTAGCACCGCCGGGGCGGACTTTCGAGGATGTCTCGAGCGAGGGCCCCCTCCGCTGGTTGTACTAGTAGGCAAAAGTAGCCCTACTAGTACGCCCCGGCGGGCCGGACTTTCGAGGATGTCTCGAGCGAGGGCCCCCTCCGCCGGTCGTAGTAGTAGGCCAAAGTAGCCCTACTAGCACGCCCCCGCCAGACCCCTCTGGACCGTACTAGTAGGCCAAAGTAGCCCTACTGGTAGCCTCGCCGGGGCGGACTTTCGAGGATGTCTCGAGCGGGGGCCCTCTCCGCCGGTCGTACTAGTAGGCCAAAGTAGCCCTACTAGTACGCCCCCGCCAGCCCCCCGGGGCCCGTACTAGTAGGCGAAAGTAGCTCTACTAGTAGCCCTGCCGGGGCGGACTTTCGAGGATGTCTCGAGCGGGGGCGCCCTCCGCCGGTCGTACGATTGGCAAAAGTAGCCCTACTAGTACGCCCCGGCCATCCTCCCGGGTCCGTACTAGTAGGGCAACCTCGGCCCTACTAGTAGCCCCGGCGGGGCGGACTTTCCAGAATGTCTCGAGCGGGAGCGCCCTCTGCCGGTCGTACTAGTAGGCCAAAGTAGCCCTACGAGTACGCCCCCGTCAAGCTCCCGGGGGCCGTACTAGTAGGCCAAAGAAGCCCTACTAGTAGCCCCGCCGGGGCGAACTTTCGAGATGTCCCGAGCGCGAGCCCCCTCCGCTGGTCCTACTAGTAGGCCAAAGTAGCCCTATTAGCACGCACTCGCCATCCCCTCAGGCCCGTACTATCAGGCCCAAAGAACCCGACTAGTAGCCCCCGCTTGGGCGGACTTTCGAGGATGTATCAAGCAGGGGCGCTCTCCGCAGGTCGTGCTAGTAGGCCAAAGTAGCCCTACTACTACGCCCCAACCATCCCCCCAGATCCGTACTAGTAGGGCCACTTCGTCCCTACTAGCAGCCCCGGCGGAGCGGACTTCCGAGAATGTCTCGAGCGGGAGCGCCTTCCGCCGGTCGTACTAGTAGGCCAAAGTAGCCCTACTAGTACGCCCCCGCCAGCCCCCATGGGCCGTACGAGTACACCAAAGTAGCCTTACTAGTAGCTCCGCCGGGGCAGAGTTCCGAGAATGTCTCGAGCGGAGGCCCCCTCCGCCGACCGTGCCAGTAGTAGGCTCAAGAAGCTCTACTAGAATGCCCCGGCCTAAACCCTCCTACCCCTTCCCTCTGCCCCCTCCCCCCTCTCTCTCTCTGTCTCTCTCTCTCTCTCTCTCTCTCTCTCTCTCTTTCTCTCTGTATTCCTCGCTTTTCCCTCTCTCCCTCCCCCCGATCCCCCCCTTCCCCCTCCTCCCTCCTTCCCACTTCCTCGTCGCCGGCGCTGCCGCCGTCGCCGTCGTCGTCGTCGCCGCCACGCAGCCCCAAGCCGACCCCGCGGAAGCCCCAAGAGCCACAATTAAGGCGAATCGTGATAAGAAGATTACATCTACGATTCGCACATCGCTCGGCGATGATAAAGTTCAGTCTCGCCGCCCCCTCCGCCGACCAAATGTATCTTTCCAGAAATATCCAACGCGGCGGAGTTTAGGATCCCGAACGTACTCTCATTATCCGGTACACAACGGCACTCAAACCAGCTACCTCACCAGAGCGACTCTCGAGAGCGCTTCCATCAAAACCCCAGAGAAACATATTCTCGCGGAGAACGATTGCAAAGTCACTCCCTGAAGCCTTCCACTCTCCACCCTGGCACAGCGTAAACACAGTACCACCACAATCTCATACAATGTAACAGGAGCACCCCCAAACAACCAGGCACCTGACACGCGCGAACTCCACCCATGAGACCTTTTCCCGCTCTTCACTGTGAATATCAAACCCGAAACCGCAACCCCCATGGGCCCATGCCCGCTGCATCTCACACGACCGATAGACTCAGAGCCGGAGTCTACAACGGTCGGAACCACATCGCGGTCGGCACCCACCTCGTCTGGCACGATTAACGGCGCGCCCACCTCGCATGCCGATTCTACTCCTGTATAGACAGTATCTGGATCCATGCCCTCCGCGCCGGACTGGAAGGGCGCCGCGCCCGCGCGCGCGCCATGACACCCGGTGCCGAACCCTCCCGCGCCCGCGAAAGGCAACGAGAACCTCAGCGGTGACTCTGTGAACCAGCTCTCGTTGGCGGCACGCTGCCCATCGCGGTCGGCACCCACCTCGTCTGGCACGATTAACAACGGCGCGCCCACCTCGCATGCCGATTCTACTCCTGTATAGACAGTATCTGGATCCATGCCCTCCGCGCCGGACTGGAAGGGCGCCGCGCCCGCGCGCGCGCCATGACACCCGGTGCCGAACCCTCCCGCGCCCGCGAAAGGCAACGAGAACCTCAGCGGTGACTCTGTGAACCAGCTCTCGTTGGCGGCACGCTGCCCATCGCGGTCGGCACCCACCTCGTCTGGCACGATTAACGGCGCGCCCACCTCGCATGCCGATTCTACTCCTGTATAGACAGTATTTGGATCCATGCCCTCCGCGCCGGACTGGAAGAGCGCCGCGCCCACCAGATGGCGCCACGCCCACGCAACATGAGGTGTCGCCGACTCAGCCGCTGACTGCTGGGCAGCGGGTTACCCATGACCCCGATTCGGCCGAGGATGGGTTACCACCCCCAGCCCGGACGCAAAGGATTACCCCTGCGCCCGATTCGGCCGCCGATGGGTTACCACCGGCGGCCCGGAGGCAAGGGGTTACCCCTGCCTCCGATTCGGCCGAGGATGGGTCACCACCCCTGGCCTCCCCCCTGCGCCCGATTCGGCTGACGATGGGTTACCACCGGCGGCCTGGAGACACGGGGTTACCCTTGCCCCCGATTCGGCCGAGGATGGGTTACCACCCCCAGCCCGGACGCAAAGGATGACCCCTGCGCCCGATTCGGCCGCCGATGGGTTACCACCGGCGGCCCGGAGGCAAGGGGTTACCCCTGCCTCCGATTCGGCCGAGGATGGGTTACCACCTCCGGCCCGGACACAAGAGGTTACCCCTGCGCCCGGCCGCTGTCTCGTCGTCGTCGTCGTCGTCGTCGTCGTCGTCGTCGTCAGCTCCTCAGTCACCCTGTCGGGCACGCAGGCCAGTGGCGGTAACAAATGTGCTGAAGACCAGCTCAGACGCGGCTAGGTCCAAGTCGTTCACAGACAGGACTCCCGGGCCGCATAGGGAGGGGAAGGGTTATGCAGAGGGACTCCCGCGTCAGACTTCCTCGCAAGTCTCTCGAGTTACGCACGCACGAAGCTCCCGGCTCATTCCTTCCCCATGTCCACGATTGAAGAGGCCAGAAGGGGACCGGGGACCGAGGACCGGGGGCCGGTCAAAGAAATTCCGCCATTGTGAAGCGGGTGCGGAGGCCTCGCCGAAAATCCTCCACATGGCCGACGTACGCGTGCTAGTACGAGTGGAGCGGGCGTACGGGTTCGGCTACGTAGGCGCACTAATACGACAGCAAAGTGCACGGACGGGCGTACGAGTACGGCTACGTGAGCCTCCGAATACGGCGGCGGTGCGCGGCTCGGGCGTACGAGTACGGCTACGTACGGCGACTAGTACGACTGTGACGTGCACGCCCGAGCGTACGAGTACGGCTACGTACTGGTACGAGTACGACTGGAGCGGGCGTACGACTTCGGCGACGTAGGCCTACTAGTACGGCAGCAGAGTGCAAGAACGGCCGTACTAGTACAGCTACGTACGCCTACTAATACGACGGCGGTGTGCCGGGTCGGGCGTACGAGTACGGCTACGTATGGCTACGAATACGAGTACGACGTGCCCGGCCGAGCGTACGAGTAGGGCCACGTACGCGTACTAAAACGACCGGAGCGGGCGTACTAGTACGGCTACGTAGGCCTACTAGTACGACGGCGGAGTGCAGGGACGGTCGTACTAGTGCGGCTACGTAGGCCTACTAAAACGACGGCTGTGTGCGGGGCGGGGCGTACGAGTACGGCTACGTACGGCTACTAGTACGACTGCGGCGTGCACGGCCGAGCGTACGCGTACGGCTACGTACGGCTACTAGTACGACTGCGGCGTGCACGGCCAAGCGTACGAGTACGGCTACGTACGGCTACTAGTACGACTGCGGCGTGCACGGCCGAGCGTACGAGTACAGCTACGTACGGCTACTAGTACGCCCCGCGGTCGTACTAGTAGGAGGAAGGAGGCCTACTAGTACGACGACCGGGCTAAGAAAGCCTATTCTGATGATGAGGAGGAGGAGGAGGAGGAGCAGAAGGAGGAGGAGGAGGAGGAGGAGGCGGAGGAGGAGGAGGAAGAGAAGGCGCGCGAGGCGGAGGATGTGCCAGTCCGCTCCCTCCCGCGCCAGCCGCCACACCCCCACGCGGCCGCGGCGTGGCGACGGGGAGAACCCGACGCCGAGACTGCGCCCCGCTTGGCTCCTGCTGTTTGAGGCCAGCAGGTGCCACACGTGAGGCAGTCACCCGCTCAGGCCCTCGGGCCTGGCGGCACGGCATCCCGACCCAATGCGCCCCAGACGACCCCATGGGTCCTCCACCGCCATGCTCCGAGGGAAGCACGATCGGGGTTGTAGGGCCTATCGGGCTAACTATCCCTCTCGCGCGTGGCCGCGGCCGCGTCCACGCCGCGGCGGATCGCCGCCAGGAGGTGCGCCACATTCTCCGCGTGCGTCCTCTGCGGCGGCGGCGGCTCGCCCTCCAAGTCCGCCGAGGCTGCGGGCTGCTCCTCGCCTGCAGCGCTAGCGGCCCCATCCTCAGCAGGAGCCACGCAACCTCCGCCCGCGGCGGCCACGGGCGCCATGTCTGCGGGCAAGACTTACATCCATATCCAGTGCATCTTAAATTGTTTTGGCAGAAACGCCTCAAGGCCGAGGCGCACTGGATATGGATAAAAATCTAGCCTCTACGGTGGGCAAATTTATCCATATACAGTGTGCCTCGGGTTTCTGGGGAAGGGAACCCGAAACTCCATACTGCAGTGGATATGGACAGAAGTATTGCCCGCAATGTCGTTCGAAAATTGTGCACGCAAAGCCCGGGTGGCCTCTTTCGGCGCGAGCCGCGCGGCATGTTCGCCCGACAGCCGAAGCTCGCCGGGCGGCGCCAAGTCGCCGCCGTCACCGAAGTGCACGAGGAAGATCTGGAGTGCTTCGCGACCTTGGGCCCCATGCGCGTCGCCAGCTTCGCCAGGACGGCCTGATCCGAAATCGGGGGCGCGCTGCAGACGCGGCACGTCGCGCAAGCCACCGCAGGGAGGCCACGCACAAGCTGGTCCTCGTGCTGCGGCCCAACCCTGACGAAGATGCGGTGCGCCTTGCCGCGCTGCATCAAACCCGCGTCGAGAGCCACCGTCGCTGGCACCACACTGCCTGGGCACTCGCGAACCCTTCGCGCCCAGCGGCAGTCGGCACAGCCTCCGGCGCCAATCCGAGAACTCCGCGCGGACCTCCGACCGTTTTGGTTATTTGTTTGATCCCGATTCCTTCTCCCCCTCCGCGACCTCCCCTCGCTTCCCCTCCTCGTCTCCCTCCCTCTCGCTCCCCCGAGTGGCCCTTGGGCCAAGGGCCCAGGACGCCCCCCCCCCCCCTGGCGCCCCCTCCTGCTGCCGGAGCAGTGGCGGCGGCGGGTGAGGCCGCTCCTGGATGCAGGGGCCGGGGGGCGCGAGCAGCAAGAAGGGGGCACGGAGGAGGGACGAGTTATCCCTCCCACCGGCCTCCCTCCCTCCCTCCCTCCCTCCCCTCTTCTCCATGTCTTGGGCAAGCCGCAGGCGCGCACAGGCCTCTCTCCGCCTCCTCCTGCTCCGCCTCCTCCTCCTCCCTTCTCCTCCCTCCTCCTCCTGTTCCTGACCCTCACCCTCGTCTGCCTCCGCCGTCGCCTCTTTCTCGTCCGGATCATCAGCCTCCCCCGCGCGCGTGGGGTGAGGGATGTAGGGAGGGAGGGTGGATGAGGGGCCGAGGGAATTCTAAGGTGTCCTTTCCCTAACAGTTCTCGCACAATGGGGATCTCATTCGTTGGGTGCCTCGCGTGGGGCTTTGCCACAGCTTCGCCCGGTGGGAGCTTATGGGCGATTGGTGGGCCCCGCAGTATTGTTCGCAACATGCTTCAACAACTTCTGATGTCCGTGAAACACGTAGGCTGTCGCGTTGCAAACGTCATGTACATGTATGTGTGCATAGACATTCCTGAAAACTTCGGGAAGAACAAGCCACAAACCATGACAACCGCAACACGCACGATTGAAGCAATGTTACTATCGAAGCTCGTGCATGCGTTGGATGTACGCAGGCGCCCAAATCGGATAAGATGTGAGTAGTAACGCAACGCAAACAAAACGACATAAGAACGACGAACATCAGCTGGTCTTACGCGAGATGGCATAGCGAGCTTGGGCGGTGGCTTACGCGAGCCGCCAACACGGCACGCTGTATTGGAAACGAGGGCGCTCACGCGCGACCCTATACGAACAACGTGCGCGCCAATGTCAATGAAGACGACGGCCCCGCCCTTGCGACGCTCATAGACACCAATGCATCAAAAGCACGAGAAGCCACTCGACCGAGAGACATCGAAAGAGCTGTCGAAGCATAACTTTCCAACACGCATACATGCATACACAATGAAAAGAAGAGGGGAGAGGATCCAGAGGTGGATTGGATTGTCGATTCCATATTTCTGCTTTTTTATCGAGGGCCGTCGCGTCGAAGAACAACAACAATACCAATGACAAAACTACCAGTGGCCCGCAAAAAGGGACGGGCGCGGGAACAACGGAAGACCTGACATCGCAAGGGTCCCACCAGCCTGGCCCCTCAGCGGACCCAATTTACCCTCCAGTCGTGTTCGCAGCGCCCGTCGCTGCGGGTGCTTCGCAGGTCTGAGCCAAGCCAGGTCGCTCACCGAGCGGGCTCCACGAGCATCGAAGCAGGGCGAGTTTTGACACCGGTAATACAAAATCGGTCCCAGGAACCCTCGCAGGGTCCAAACGCAAGAGTTTTCCGAGCTGCGCCCAGCCGTGGCCGTGGCAACGAGGGGCTCCCGAAGGACAACCACAGTTGCCTCACCTCGCCCTTCTTTGCGAGCAGGCATAAGAACAGTCCCCCAGCCTGGTCATTCAACGAACGAGCTGTGCATCTGCATTCTTCCCCCCCTGTCTTGCGGCCGCAGCGCGCCCTCGCCCCGCAGGGTGCAGGCAGGATCCGTTGGGGTAGTCGGCGCGGCAGGACGATCCACCAACGAACCAGAACAATCGGTTGCGCTTCTGGATATCGGAACGCTCCCCCCACCAACCAGCTAGCTAGCCAACTACGAGCCAGCCAACCAACAAACCACCCAATCTCCCATTCCAGCCAACCAACCTGCCACCTGGCCAAGCGTCCAACCAACCGAGCGGTCAACCACGGTCCACGAGATCGTTAAAACACCGTTTAGGTCGTCCCCGGGAATGCAGCATCTGTTGGCCGGACGTGTTTTTTCATGGCCCAGCAACGTCTGTGGACTTCCCCCTGTGCCGGCATGAGCGGGAAGGGACGGTGGGGGTGGCTCACACCGCCTCCCACACTGGCGCTGCCAGTGGGACGCCCTGTGGGGCCATAGGCGGCGTGCAGAGTAGGACAGAAGAGCCGATGATTCTCCGAGTGTGTGATAGCGTTAGGTAGGGCATGTCCTCCTAGAGGCGGATGTAGTCTGACAAATTATAAACGAACCCTAAACAAATGATATCTTCTATTTTGAATAAGAACACGTCACCAGACTATCCATTAACAATTATTGAAACTTCCTGCTGCAGAAGGAGATGCCCAGCTTAGTGTTAGTGCCACCGTGTGTGCTGTCCACCGCGGGTGGTGCAACGGGGGCCGACACAGGCTGCGCGCTGTCGGCGAAGCCGAGGTGGGTAAACACGCACTTGGGCGAACATACGCCCTTAGGATCTTCGGTTTGAGGGCATGCAAAAAGGAATCCTGTGCCATGGCCATGTCGGCCTTCGGCGGAGAGGCATCTGCCCTACAGTGGGCCGCCGAGCGTCAGATATGTCAACCTCGCTTCTCCTCCTAATATCAACATCAAATCCTGTGGATCGGGATCACCTCGAAAACCCCATCCATTTGACCTAAGGACATTAAGAGCACCAGCTTTGACTGCAGCCCCGGCGCCGACGATATACAGCAACCACCCTTGTCAGCGGCCTGGCTACCCCTGCAGCCCAGTGGAGAAACCGGGACAGTGACAAACAACGCCTTGCAAGCCAGCTGACAATGCAACTGCCTTTTGTTTACCAGTGTTGCTCGCTTGCAAGCACTTTCCGTCCACTCCTGCTTGGTAGTCTCTTGGCGATATGATTACTAGAACCATCGCGCGCGCTTCGCGCGCGCTCAGGTTCTAGCAAGCCCCAGGCCTTGACGAATTCACTGCTCCACTGAAGTAGTGGACCACAGTCCACGCATACCAATATGCATTCCGAAAGGCCTTCGAGGAAAATTGTTGTGTAGGGGGCGGAGGCTGTATGAATTGGGTTCCCAGAAGGCCTTCTGAGAGCATGGGTTTGGGGCGTCTTGGGGAGCCTGTGGGGCGTGCCGTCGTCGTCGTCGTCGTCGTCGTCGTCTTGCTACGACCCATTCCCGAACCTGACCTTGGGGGTGGCCTAACCTGGCGCAGCCCCGATTGGCAACAGACCCGACACGTCCCGTCCAAACTGAACGCCAGGTTCGCACTCGCCAAGCACGAAGGGACGGCAGCTGCGGTCGCCAGTTGTCTCGCGCCGAGTCCCTACGTTTTACTACGGTGACGGGCTGATTTTTGCCTCTTGAAGGCCCTCTTGTGGCTCCCTTCGGCCATCTTGAAGCCATCGCGGGCCCGAGGCTGTCCTGGGGCCCTCTAGGGCGTCCTCGGAACCCGGAAGTCATGTTCCCGGAGAGGCTTCCGAGAACATGATTTCGAACGGGGCCCTCTTGGGCCTCCCTGAGGCCGTCTGGTTGGGCCTCCTGGGCCGGCTTCGGGGCCTCTCGGGCCGTCTCGGGGGGTTCGGTGAGCCCCATAGGCCGACCCTTTTGGGCCGTTTTGGGGCATGTTGGAGCATCTTTGGGGTCTCTGATGGGGGCATTTTTAAGCCTCTTGGGGCCTCTTGGGGGCCTCTTAGGGGCCTACTGGGGCGGAAATCTCCATTGTCGGTTCGTGTTCCCCCTCTTTGGCACCTCGTGGGGCCGTCTTGAAGCCCTCTTGGGCCGTCTTGGGCGCCTCTTGGACCGTTTGGGCGCCCTCTTGGGCTGTCTTGGAGGCCTCTCGGAGGCCTTTTGGGCCGTCTTGGGGCGATGTTCGAGGCTTCCTCGGCAATCTTGGAAGGTCAGAAGCCCGAAAACGCGGGCAAGCAAAAAAGATTGAAAAACACAATGAACATCTATGATTTTAGCCTCTTGGGGCTCTCTTGGAAAGCCTCTCGGAGCGCCCCTGGGGCTTCTTGGGGGCACCTTGGGCCCTGGTGGGGCTATCTTGAGAGTCTTGGAGCGCTCTTGGGCCGTCTTGGCGGCTTCTTGCCGTCCCCGGAAGCCGTGGTGGAAGCCTCCGGGGGCGCAAAAGAGCCTCCGGACGCCCGGGGGCAAAGTGGGTTACGGAGGGGGGGGGGGGGGGGGGGGGGAAATTCGGAAATTCGGGAGGGTGTCCCGGCCCAGGGCCCTGGCCCCCGGTACCCCGGTATATGATGTATGGTTGGGCTCTATTTTCTCCTTCTCTTCAAGGCTGATTGCAACGATATTCTAAACCCCTGACATCCGCTCCAGCGAGCAGCTTAATGTGTAGCCGTTCAGCAAGAATTGGTGTTACAAGTCTTTCGTGCTCGATGCACGAACGCTGCGATCGCAGATCATTCTACGGTGCCGAATGTGGAAAAATACTGGATGCGGTCGCTGTGGGTAAACGCGCCTTGAACGAAACATGGAGTGGCCGAGAGCAGAAAGAGACCACTGTAACTGTGAGAAGCAAATGCCGACGCCGCCTCCTTTCCGGCGACACTACATCGCTTCTCGCCCCCTGAGATCGATATTCCGCCCCGGGACCCCTCAGTGCGGACTCCCGCAAAGATCCCCACAGGATCCCATCAATACCCCAATCGTATTCCGATGAGCGACCGAGGGGGTTGCAGCATGAATCCAGAAACATCCGCATCGGGTTCCTATCCGATTACATTGGGGTTCCAACAGGATCCCGAGAGGATCCAGATAAGATCCCAACCAAACTCAAGTAGGATGTCTAAGCATCCCAATGAAAATGGTCGCAATCGCATTCCAAAGGGTAAGATTCCCAACAGGATCTGAAAAGGGTCCGAGTGGATTTTCAAAATGGGATCCCCATAGGATCCCAGCATGATCCAAATAGGATGTCAATAAGATTCAATTCGGATTGTACAAGGGTCTCAATAGGAATCCGAAGGGCTCCCGTATGATTCCAATAAGATACAAAGCAGGCTTCGTTCGGACCAGAATCATATTCGACAAGGAGTCCAGTAGGACTCCTTGGTCCCCATCTAACCCCAAGAGAATCTGAATCGCATCCCCATTGCTATCTCCATAGGGCTCACATACTACCTCAATCGGATTTCATTGGGCTTCGTTGGAGTCGTCGCGTCGTCGTCGTCGTCGCGACGTCGTTCTCGCGTCTGCGTCGTCATTCGTCGCCGTCGCCGTCGTCGACTACGGCGGGCCCACGCAGCACCCCCCCTTTTCGGATTTGGGTAGGAGTTCAACAAGTCACCAGGGCTCCGATAGGACCCCAAGAGGAGCCCAATCGCATCCCAATGGGACGAATCTCTATGGGATCCCCGACATACCCCACTCAGACTCCAGACACTAGTGGGCATCATCCACGTCGTTGTCGTCGTCGTCGTCGCGTTGTCGTCGTCGTCGGTCGTCGCCGTCGTCGTCGACTAAGGCGGGCCCGCGCAGCAGCCCCCCCTCCCGCTCCCCCCCGCCATGGTGCATCCGGGCATGCGCAGCGCGTCGTCGTCGTCGTCGGTCGCTGTCGTCGGCGTCGTCGTCGCCGCCGCCGCCAGATACGGCGGACCCCTCACAGCACCCCACCACCCGATGGTTTCGATAGATGTCTTGGCCAAGTTAGCGTAGTGTCGCTGGGAGCCAAATCAGGATTCCTTTTCGATGTAAACAAACAAAGGTGCCCTCCTCTACTGCTGTTACTCTTTCTCCCCTCCGCAGAATTCAATTATTAAATTATGTTTGTTAATTAGAGCGACAGGTTGCAAACAGATGTAGCTCGGCGTCTCTTCCACTCTCGGGACTGAATTAATTGGAATGCGATCGTGAGGCCAAGGGGCGGTCGAAAACTGCTTCTCACGGTACCCCAACACGGCGCTGCTCTTCTGAGATCGGACCCGGGTCTCAGGCAACAGTCTTCGGGAGACGCGCGGCAACAGTCTCCCCAGGAGCCCGTCTTCTCGCAGTTCGCGATGAACCTGCGCGGGAGCGGCGCTACCTCCCACCTTCTCGTTTTGCGTGTGTGGGTGGGGGGGCAACATGTGCGGCGTGCATGCCCGAAGCGTCGGTCGGCTTCTCCTCCTCCTCCTCCTCCTCTTCCTCCTCCTCCATTTCCATTCCTTGTCCTCATACATAGCTGCTCCCTGTCGCAGCCCGAGGCATGTCGGACGGGCGGGCCAGGCGTTTCGTCTAAGACTTCCTCACCATGTATGACCCTGGAGCTTAAACATTGGCAACAATTCGCCGTATGGAGACATGTATAAGAGTTTCACGGAATGAAGGTGGGTCATGTTTAAAATGCGGCTCTCGCATCAGCGCCGCGCACACTCGATAAAAAACCCAGAGTCCAATGGATTCAGGAAGGCTCCTTTTCAAACTGTGGCTCTCGTCTTAGCGCCGCGCACATTCGTCTTAAACATGCTCATGGACAACGTTCCAGAAATGGTGTTCTGATTGTGAGGGCGCCACAGTTGCGTTGAATTGCGGTGTTGACATCCCAGGAATGGCGTTCTGGCATGATTCCAGGTCGTCAAGACGCAACAATCGTGTTGATTCGCGGCGTTGGAGTCTGGCGAATGTTGTTTTGCCACGCTTCAGGGTCTTCAAACGGTTATCTCCCAACGAGGCAGCTCCCTCAGTGGAAATGAACCCTCCCATGGGCCTATGAAGAGGGAGCTATGAGAGAGGGTTCATTCCAACGCTCTTGCACTGGTCCTCATCATCCTCCTCTTCCTCCTGCCTGCCCTCAATCCTCATCGTGTGCATCCTTATCCTCCTCCTATGCCTGCCTTCAGTCTAACAGTCTTGCTCCTGCTTTCGATACATCACTCTCCCGCTCTCCGTCCCTCCTCCGTTCTCCGTTCTCCTCCGTTCTCCTACGCCCTGATCCCCCTCGAGATCCTGCGTGTTCTTCTCCCTGCCACTGACAGCTCCTGCTTCCCAACCCAGCCAGTGTCCTGTGGAGAACATCCTCCTCCTTCTCCTCCTCCTCCCTCCACCTCCTCCACCCCCTCTATCTCCACCTCCTCCTCCTCCTCCTCCTCCTCCTCCTCCCTCCTCCTCCTCCCACTCTCTTCCCTCCCTGCGGTGCATCAGCGCTGGTCGGTGCTCGGGGTGAGGGAATCTGGGCCGTAGGTAAGGGTCACGCTTGGGCGGGCTGTGCCGCATCTGGGCGGGGGTGCGCTGCGATCGCCATAGTACGCGCGCGAGCACCAGCATGTGGGGGGGGCGGGGCGGTCCAGGCCCCCCCCAATAGACAATCGCATCTTGCTCCCATCGTACTGAAAGACCACATCCCAGAAATAATTGCGAGCACCCGGAAAAATGTCGAAACAATGTCGGACGAGTGTCCCCCAGGGCCCGACACGTAAAAACCCTCGAATTTCGTTATGCTCGAAATTCTTTCTGGTGGTTAAAGCTAAAATAGGTCGGAACATCATCAGTTTGGCCGAGGTAGTAACTTTTTCGCGCCAGAGAATCAAGGAAAAGCAATCTTGAAGACAAAGGGACACTGACAAACTTAACGGGGCCTGACGCCGGCGGGCGCCTCGCGCCCAAGGCTTGGGTGCTTCGGTGCCTGGGTCTCAGCGGACCAGGCGCCTCCGTCGAAGATGATCGCGGAGAGGTCACCCCGCAGGATGTCAGAGTCGAAGCACACTCCAACCAAGTCGAGCCTCTTCGGTGACAACTCATGGGAGCCTCCAACACCATCTTGTCGACTCTTGACATGGAATGACGCTTATCGACGCTAATCGAAGCTAAGTCGACGCAAATCGACGCTAAATCGACGCTACCCCATCGACTCCCAGACGCTGATCGACGCTAAAAGCAAAATTACGGGGGTACAAAAGGCCTCCATGGTTTGCGACCCAAACCCTCTACTCAGTCCAGGGTCAACCCGAAAACCAACTGACCCGGTGCGGAAACCAGACCGACTGGCCCGGCGCCGCCGCGGAACCGACCAGCCCGGCCGGGCAGGGCATTAAGAACTCCCTCGGGGCTCACCGGACACGGGGCCTACCAGCGATGCCGACAGTTCGCAGACAGACTGGCCCAAACAGGCCCGACCAAGCCGCAACGCTGGAGACCGGACCGACCGGCCCGGGAAGAGGCTTGCGTCGTGGTCGTGCGCACCTGCACCAAGTCACGGGACCCAGCGCCACACCCAAAGGCCGAGCTCGCCTAGGACGAAGGCGGCTTCCTCTCAGCCCTGCGCTGTGGCTGGGTCGCCTTCCTGCCTAAAACGCCTTCTGCCTGATCGCCATGGTGTCTTTGCCCGTTCCGTTGGGGCTGAGCCGCACCTTGGTCGCTACGGGCCCCCGCCGCGGCGTGGTACCGATCGCCCGCGCGCCCGCTGATCCACTGGCGCCAATCCTCTGCTCGCGGTTGTGCCGCTCCACCGCGCCATGCCAAGCTTTCCCGCAAAAGGGCGCGCGTATCCACGCCCCGCCCCGCCTTCGCGCCGCTGCAAGCTGCCTGGCAGGTGCCCTGTGCCAGCTGCGGCGCTGGCAGGCCCGAGGCCTGGGCGACCTGGTAGTACCTCAGTTTGGCCACTCCTCCTCTGCGTCATCCTGCTCCTCCAGGCCCACATCGGGTTTGATGATGAGGAGTTATGGGGAGATGCAGAACTAAGATGAAGGGGGGAGAACGCCGACGAGCAGAAAGACGAGGGGGACTGACGGTGCTGATGCTGATGATGAGGACACAGCAGTGGTGGCGAGGAATGATCACATACACTTTGCTGATGACGATGATGAGAAGGATCCAGGATATGGAGGAGCGAGGAGGAGCAAAACAACAAAAGGAGAGGCAGGACGACAAACCCCTGCATTTTCCGCCTCTCTACCTCCCACCCCCCCCCTCCCCATTGGGGCGGGCGAGAACTCTACCAGCGCTTGTGTCGCAGCTGCGCCAGACACAGCGCCGGACGGCTTGAAGTTAGTGATGATGTGGCGGCGCCTGGCGCTGTGGAGCTGCCAGGGCTGCGGGAAAGAAAGAGGATGAGGAAGAAGGCACGAGCATGGAGTGTCGAGGACCGATCGGTCTGCGAGGCTTTCGCGCCACCCAGACTTCTGCCAAGCCGTCGCTCCGGAGTCGCGCGCAAGGACTTCGAGGAGCGGAGGCCCCCGCCAAGGCAGGGAGGGGCAAGGGCATGGCATGGCACGGAGGCCCCAGCGAGGCCAAAGCCACGTGCCTACGGTGAATAATTTTGAGTACTTGTCCCCCCGCCCTCTTGCAAGGCCGGGCCGACCCGACAGACAGGAGCCAACGGCTGTGCGCACAGCATCAGCTGGCTCACGACCCGCAGCTCCGCAGTAGCCTCCGACGGACACAACACGCATGACTATCGAAAGGACCCGTGGGAAGAGGAGGAGGCGAAGACGGGAAGAGCAGAGGAGACAAGGCACAGCAAAGAGATAACAAGGAATCAATTCAACAGGAAATGGTCGAAAGGGGAATTCCAACGGAAATTCCACAGGATGAACCAGAAAGGCCAAGTGCCAATATTCGGAGAAACATTGGACCGCTGGATGTCTGGGCAATGCAAGGGGGAAGGAAAGAGGGGAACGAGGAAGATCCGGAAGGAAAAAGGAGAGAATAAAGTTGTTGGGAACTCAATGGTTCGAGGTTCGTGAAAAACACAAAGAGGCAACACTTTTGAGACGGAACCTAAACACACGGTGCGAGGAGGGAGGAGGGCGAGCAGGCAGGATGGAGGAGAGCGGAGGAAGATCCTGAGAACGGCGAATATTCAAAATGATTTGGGAGGTTCCCTGGGGTTTGGGGAACTCTGGAGCTGTGCAGCTCCAAGGGGGTCTTCCTCCCCAAACATGTGCTTCCAGAGGGTATCAGCATCCTGCTCGCGACCAGCACAAGGAAACCTGAGCACTAAATGCTGCGCATCGGGCTCACAGCTCATGAACTGTCATATGTGGTTAGAGGATATGGCTCTGACCGTGGCAAGATCCACTAAAACAAATGATGTGCCGTCGCATGCAAGAACACCTCTGCACACGGGAATAAACAACTTGCAAGTATTTGTTTTGCAATTGCTGACGCTGATTATTTTGTTTGCGCGGGTTCCAAGCCTCTCAAACCAATCAAATGGGTACATTATTGAGGCTCTTCGATCACACGGTCTTTCTCACGCCGCTAATGGGTCTCATCAACTGTTTGACGATCTTGCTCCTCTCTCCACGCAGCGGCCGGCCAGAACGCAGCACGCGATCCGTCGGAACACACAGCGTCACGGCAACGACTGCAACCCGCCGAAAGGACACGTATGGCGACGAATAACCAGCGGCCCAACTATAGAAAAATGGGTCGTGTCGTAGGTGTTGAGACCAAGCCGGGAAACGGTACACGCCAGGACGCAACCGATGGCGCAGAGCCTGCACTAGCTTAAGCCCAGCGCCAGCGATGAGACGGCTATGGAGCAACACCGAAAGATTTCAGAGCGGAGTCGAGCACTCCTGCGCCATCAAGGCTGCGGCGTGGAAGTTACAGCAACAATCACCGCGGATGAAAAACCCGAGGGCGCTGTAAATAAGATCGTGCGCGACGAACGCGGCGGATAAGATGTCATGCGAGGTCGGTATATTCAAACGTGACGAAGAACATCCCTGCCCGCGCAACGTCGTCATGTTTTGCGAACTGCTCAACTGGAGACCGCCACCAGACGCCGCCGTCGCCACAAGCGTCATTCGCATCGAAGAGCACACGGTCACATATGATAGGTGTGAAGCAACTCTGAACACAAGTGTACATATCCCAAGCGGTCAGATCAATGTATTCTCCACTTGAGCCGAGCTCTTTGGCAACACGCGGCGGGGTATATAACACCAGCACCGCCAGGCTGGCGTAGAATAGCGGGGCGCAGCCAAGGCAATAAACAAACGGAGGCCTGCAGCAATGCGCCCAATCTCATCTAGGTCATCGCTGACATCTCCCTCGGGGCAACCACCGAGCATGGGCATCACACAAGTTGAACACCCCCCCTGATCGCTGGGACCAAAGTTGTTGAGCACACGCAGCGGCGTCCATGTACAAGCCACGCTAGCAAAGTCAAAATGTCAAGGAGCCAATGACGCGATGCGCGATTCGCTGAGAGGAAGAATCAACAACTCCTGATATGACCCAGTGCCGCAATCATCACCTCAACGTTGGCTACAATAACTGGTGGTGTCAACACATGCCCAACCGAGCACATGATCTTGCGCAAACAACATAATGGGCTCGATCTGTCAACTCGCCGTAAGCCGTGACAAAAAATTGAGACTGCCCCAGACAAACATGAGGATGCCGCCGGCCTGAGGGAACTCACATATAACACGCCAAACGAATTACCCTGCGACGTACCCAACTCATCGTGTCTCCCAGTGCCCGACACGTAAACCATCCTCGAGTTTCGGTATTTCCTTGGTGCTCGAAACTCTCTTGTGATAAAGGCTATAAAGTAGGTGGGAACATCATAAAACTTGTCCAACATCGTATGGCTGATAGCAACGCGGGGTGTGCCATGGATTGTGCGAGCTGTGTGGGGTGCGCGCGCGCTGCGCGCCTCCCAGGACAACAGCAGGAGTACGAGCGAGGACTGCGGCCCCAGGCTCGAAGAGGCAATGGAGGCAGGAAGGAGGAAGGGTTAAGTCGGGCCTGTCCCTCTACAAAAGAAATATTCAAAAATGGAAGGGCTGGTGGGAGGAAATAACGGAAGATCGACGAGTGCGCTCCACTACTCGCAAAGTAGCTACTCGCGAATGGCCTGGATCCGCCAGGGGGGATCCACGATGAAACACATCGAAGCAGACATGTGCTTTTCGGAAGTTTGCGAGTAGGCACTTTGCGAGTAGTGCAACGCGCTCTGCGAGTGCCGAACACTGCACCCTGAGCACTGACCTACGACCAGTCGGCCCCAGAACTGGTCATGCCGGGCCGAACGGGAACCCAATGCTGTCCACGGGCACCCCCGAGCGGGCCACGACCTCACCAGGATGGCCCACGAACGCAGACGCCTCAAGAAGCTTCCAGAGATCTTTGGAGCCCTCCAGAGGCCGTCGTCGTCGTCGTCCTCCTCCTCCTCGTCGTCGTCGTCGTCGCTGGACCGTCGTCGTCGTCGTCCTCGTCCTCGTTGACGTCGTCGTCGTCATAGTCGTCGTCGTCGTCGCCGCCTCAGGGCCACACCAGGCCAGGTCGGTGCTCCAGCCTCCTAGGCACCGCCCGAAAGGCCCGGACTGTCCATGCTCCCGCCGGCCACGGGCCGCTCAAGGCAGGCCCCCGAACCCCTCGCGGGGGTCCGTCCTGGCCTGCTAGGCATGCCGAGTCGATCTCTGGGGCTCCCACCGAGCCCGGAACAGCCTCGAGGGGCAGAACCCCCGAGGGGGCAGCTGGGGGGGAGGGGGGAGCGACAACTCCTGGCGTCGGAGAGGCCTGGTCCCGAGAGCGGCCACACGGGCAGCTTGAGCGGGCGCCTGGCTGGGCTCAGCTTCGCGAGCGTCATCTTCGCGCTCGTAGCCTCCAGCTTCCACTTCGCGATCTCGGGAGGGCAAAGCGGCAAGGAGAGGGGAACTTCTCGTCGTCCTCCTCCTCCTCCTCCTCCTACCCTTCTTCCTCCTGCTCCTACTTCGTTCCCACCTGAGGCGCGCGTGCGGAAGAGGATGAGGCTGAAGAAGAGGAGGGGAATGATGAAGAGTAAGTCAGGCATGAAGGAGGATGAGGGAATACAGTAATGACCACAACACTAGCCGATTGTACCAGCAGCTGTGAGAATGCCTGGCCAGCCTGCCCGTGGCGACATAGCCCCAGAGCGCGACGATGCGGGGGGGGAAGGGGAGGGAGGCGAGTTCAAGGAGGGGCCCCAAGGGGACAGGGGGGGAGCCACATGCGAACGCTACCCGCTCCCGAGCGAAGTGCACCCCCCCCTACCCCTCAGAAGTCGTGGGGGGTAGGGGTAAGGTTCGCATGGTGCCCCCTGATGAGAGGGAGAGGAGCAGCAGGGGGAGGCCAAGGGGGCCTCCGAGGTCGCACCCTCCGAGCGGCAGAGGCCGCTCGCCCCCCCCCGCGCCTGTCAAGGGCCCCCCCCCTCTGCGGCCTCGTGGGGCGCCGCCTCCCTGCGGCCTCTGCGGCCGGCCCGAAGCCTCCCGAGATCCTGCGGCCCCTGGGGTCGTCCCGGGGCCCCCCGGGGCCTCCCGGGGCGCCCTGGGGGAACACGCCACCGTCGTCGTCGTCGTCGTCGTTGCTGCAGGGGTCGTCGCCGTCGCAATCGCCGTCGCCGTGGCCGTCACCGTCGCCGTCGCCGTCGTGAAAATCGCCTTCGTCGTCGCGGTCGTTGTCGCCTGCTTATTCAGTTATCGCAGCTCGCGCGACTCCCGTCTCGCACATGAATTGTCCTCCGTCCCAGTTGGCCCACATTCCCCAAGAAGGCCCCAATATGGCCCCAAGTAGGCCCAGAGACCGTCCCAAGAAGGCCCCAAGACCTTCCGAGACTGCATTAAATCAATCTCCCCGATAGCCCTGAAGGGTATCCAAGACTGCTCTCAAGATAGCGCCATAGGGGTTCACGACTGTCTCGGATGCCCCCAAGACTGTCCAAGAGCGGCTCCGAGACGGCGCCATCAAGGCTCTCCCAGGACTCAAAATTAATGCGCAGACAATAAGATATAGGTAGTATTAATTTCGTCCTTCAATGTCTTTCACATGACATAATTGCGAACATGCATACATTTAGCCTGGCGAAAGAAAAATCAAGCCCATCCTCAAGACGAGGCAACTATGAACAGGAGCACTCAACACACGATAATATTGTGAAGGGCCTTCGGTGGAGCTTCCTATGGGGCCACGAAGCGTGTGAGGGGAGTATTAGAATAGGGCGGGGCATCATGCGGGCGCAACCACTGAGGCCTTCGGTGGAGCTCCATGTGGGGCCACGAAGCGCGTGAGGGGTGCGCGAAGATGGAGTGAGGCCACCATACGATCGCAGCCACTGGAGCCTTCGTTGGAGCTCACCATGAGGTTACGAAACGCGTGATAGGGGCTTCCGATGGGGCCACGAAGCGTGTGAGGGGAGTGCCAAAATGGGGCGGGTCACCATGAGGACGCAACCACTGGAACCTTCGGTGCAGCTCCCTGTGGAGCCATGAACCGTGCATACGCAGCCACTGGGGTCCTCGGTGGGGGCAGCGAAACGAGCGATGGGTGTGGCAAGACGGTTGTGATAATACTGGTTGTGATACAGACTACGTAGACAATGATGTTGCTGACGACGGCCATGATGATGCTGATGATGCTCATGATGATGACGACGATGATGATGCTGATGGTGATGACGATGATGCTGACGACGGTGATGATGATGATGATGATGATGATGATGATGATGATGATGATGATGATGGTGATGATTATGATGCTGCTGATGATGACGAGGACGACGGCGATGACGACGACGAGGGGATGATGATGATGATGATGATGATGATGATGATGATCATGATGATGATGATGATGATGGTAGTGATGGTGGTGGTGGTGGTGCTGCTGTTCATGGTGATGACGCTGCTGAGGATGATGGTGGTGGTGCTGGTGCTGATGAAATTGGGTGCGATGATTCTGATCGCGGCGAAGATGAAGATGATGACAAAGACAATGACACTGATGATGGTGATGCTGACCAAGATGTAGATGAGGATGCTGATGTATGGTAAGGACGATGGCAACGACGAGTACGATGATGGTGCTGCTGACAAATATGAGGAACGAGAAGAGAAGAGGGGTAGGAGGTGAGGTGGAGCGCGGCGTTCAACGTCGACCGACTCTGGGTCCCCGGCGGCGTTCAACGCTGAACACCGGTGGCGGGATCGCTTCTGGTCGACACGACGCGAACGAACGGAAAGCCAAGCGTGGGAGGACCAGTGTAGAACAGGCCAGGGGACCATGGTATAAACAGGCGTGGCAGCAAGATTTCCACGTGAAACACGCGCGGGATGCGCGCGCCCCGGGAAACGAAGATGACAAGTATACTGCAGGTTCATGTCGTGTCGACTTCGGCATTGGTTCCTGACAACGCCAGGATCCTTCAAGTTTGAACGATGGGCTGTTTCCGTCCGAAACGTCAAATCGTTCAAGATCGACCGAGTCGGGATCGCCGGCGGCGTTCAACACTGAAAGCCGGCGGCAGGGTCGCCGCGGGTCGACACGATGCGAACCTTCCGTACTAGAATGAGGGGGACAGGAGGTGCAGGCGGACGACGACGACGGTAGCAACCTTCATGAACCTCTGGAGAGCCTCTGAGGACACGACCAATAACCCATACCGCTATACTCGCCTGCCCTCTCCGGGGGTGCGTTCTGACCAGGATTTCGGGGTGAATCCCTTTGTGGCGACGAGGGCCTCCCAGGATGCCCGAAAAAGAGAAAACGAGGCAAGGGCAGCGGCATCGGTACCTTTGCCTCCCCTGAGCCTCCGGGAGAGCCTCCCGAGAAGCGCCGCAACAGGCGTCAGAAGGCGGACGGGGCTCACGGGCGGCGAGGGCGCGCTCCGCGGGGGCGTCCGAGGATGGGTCGTCCACGCGGGGGTTCGCAGGGCATGGCTCTAGGCACGTGCGGGAGGAGGGGGCCATGAGATCTGGGCAGATATGATGGCCACTGCCACGAGGTCCTGGCTCCTGCTTCCTGACAGCCTGAAGGTTCGTCGAGCGCGGCCTCCCCCTCCTCCTCCTCCTCCTCCTCCTCCTCCTCCTCCTCCTCCTCCTCCTCCTCCTCCTCCTCCCCCTCCTGCCCTCCTCATCGAGCTACGCGTAGTCTTCTTTGAGGTCAGGCAGCTCATGGTCTCTGTCAGTTTACCCCCCCCAGTCATCCCCCCCCTCTTGGCCGCCTCCGACCCTCAATCGCCGCCGCCCTCTCAGGAGAGCCCATAATCGGATCGACACGTCGGACCTGCGATCGAAATGAATCGGATCGGCGGATATCGGCAGCGGAAGTCGGGAGGAGTCGAATCGGCGGAAATCGGGAAATCGGCAGGCCAGTGAGGCTTCCATTGGACATCGGGATCCCAGTCGGAATCCGAAGTCGAACCGAATCAGAGTCGGAAACTGCCGAACTCGGATCGGATCGGATCGGAGGAAAAGACATGAGCCCTGCCTCCCGGCCGCCCCCCGGCCCCTCTCGCGGAGACCGCGCGCGGCCGAGGCCCGGGCAAACAGCGCGATGAGCCGCAGCTCGGCCACGGGGCTGCCTGGCGCCCGCGCGGCGGGCGGGCGGGGGCGCTTCGGCGATCGAGGATCGAGCCTCGACGAGCGAGGATCGAGGGTCGAGGATCGAGCCTCGAGGATCGAGGGTTGAGGGTCGAGGATCGAGCCTCGAGGATGAGGGTCGAGGAACGAGAATCGCGACTCGAAGATCGAGGTCGAGGGTCGAGCATCGACGATGTAGAGGGGGGATCGAGCTTCGACGATCGAGGATCGAGCATTGAGAGAGGTTGAGCGTACTTCTGCTTCTCTCTGTGATGGCCCCCCCCTGGTAGGATGCTCGTTCCAGTGGCCTTCATGGAGCCACTCGCTCCACTGATGTGTCGATGCTGCGTCGAACGTCTGGCGACTTGAGTCGAATTAGAGTCGAACTCGAATCGAGCCAGATTCGAACTAAATTCGAACAAATAGTTGAATACATCCGTCGGGTGGCCACCAGAAAGGTTACGAAATCATGAAACATCGAGGGTCGAGCTTCGAGAGAAATTTGAGCGCTCTGCTGCCCTGTGAGGTGGGGTCCCTGTTCTAGACGAAACAACACACGTTCAAAGCTAAAGGGAGGAAGAATGGGGAAGGGCTGGGCGATTAAGGCGCCACAAGAATAGGTGTGGCCCGTCGGACCTGAGGGGGGTCCCGTCCGAGCCGGGACCCCGTCCGACGCTCCCCCGAGCCGAGAAGTCGGGAGGGATTCTGAGCTGGCACTGGATGTGCGTCGAGAGTGCCCCCCCCCCACCCTTCTGCCCCCCTCCATTCGTATTGTCGGACGCCGGTATTGCGCAAGCTCGGCGCTTCAAGAGGGGTGGGGCGGGGGCCGCGCTGGTGTACGCGGCGACCCGCGCTTGGGAGAAAGAATCGCCGCGTAACAGTCCGCAACAGGAGGTTGGGAGAGGCCGGCCAGGGCGATCGGTGTATAGACGCTCGAACTCCTCCGGCAGAAGGGTGCTGGAGCGCCCATGTGCCACACTCCGTCGCCCTTTGGGCCATGGGCCGACCAGACGTCCTCTGTCTACGCATCGAACCCCTCCAGGAAGGTCGGCATCGTTCGATCGTCGATTCCCCGTGCATTGTTTGATTTCGCGCGTGATTTTTGCTGCTCGATGATCCCATATATTCCTCGATGGTCTTCTCCGGTAAAAAGAAGCACGCGTCCCAACCATGCCAAGGAGGAGGACGAGGAAGGAGGAAAAGGAATATCGACGGGGGGAAACAAACATCATCCTCGCCATTCGCCGCTGCCCCCCCCCCCCCTCGTCGAGCCACACTCGCCCCGTGAACCGAGAGGCCCCGGAGGGCCGTGGGCGGAGGCAGGGGCAGGGAGGAGCAAACACGGGAGAGTTGACGGGGACGGCGCCGACGGCGGCAGCGACGGCGGCTGCGAGGGCGACGCCCCCCGTCGGCGGAGCCTCCCACGCCTTCTGCGGATGGCGCCGCGGTGGGCATCACACCCGCGCGTGCCATCACCTCCGCTCGCTCTTGGAACGGGGGCTTCTCCTCCTGCACCTGATCAACCTCCATCCCCATATGATCCCTTTTTGTTCCCTTCCCTTCCTCCTCCCCTTCTGGGACTTTCCCCTCTCATCCACTCCTTTTCCTGCTCCTCCTCCCCCTGTCAACAGACAGGAAGAGGGAGATTATGTGGGAAGTCAATCAGCAAATTTCCGATTCACCATGGGACCGGGCATGTTCTTGGCCCTGCTGATTATATCCTTTTCTTAGTGGTATTGCACTTGTGGTAACGGCCCCAAATTGCGCCTCGGAAAGGGATGTACTTGTCGCTGCGATTGTGATATATGCCAGACACCCAAATATTCTAGAACATGATGGATGCATGTCGGCCGGCCGTCCGGTGAGCGCTCTTTTCCCTCTCAGCACAAATAGCTGTCACATGTCGCTATCATCGCTATCGCCGCCAACCGATACAGCAGGAAACAGCGGCGGCAGCGGCTAGGCGCACGGGGGGGCGCAGCTAAATGACTCTCCCCTCGGGGCTCCTCTCTCGGGCGGGCGTCAGCCTTTAGCGGACGCTCCGAATTTGCGGCGTGACGCACCAGGCCGAGCTTGGCACGCCCCGAGGGCTGATGTCGGATTTCGCCCCGTCCCCCGAGGCACTTCGGCCCCCGCGGTGTAAATCCCAAGAACGTCTACTGCGCACGCTCAGGGAATGGAGCACTTCCGGCACAACCCTGCGGGGCAAGCCAAAACGGACCAGCGGGCCCCACATAGAAAGGAGAGCGCTGGCGCACGCCGCCCGGCGATCGGCTCACTGGGCCATCGCAGCCCGCCACCGCGCCGCGGCCCGCGCCAGAAGCGCATCTCCGAAATGCCCCCCTTGCCACTGCCTCTGCACCAGCGCCTTGAGTGTTATCCCATGGAACCACGGACTCGACAACGACAACCCTATCGACGGCCATTACCGGCCATCGCCGGGCATCGCCGACGCAACAGCAGCGACGACGGCGCCTCCTCCGCGTCTTCCCCAGCCAGTCTAAGCTCCGCTAAGCTCTGCCAGAGCTCCTCTGGGCTCTCCATAGTAAGCTACTCTAAGCCCCATCAACGCTCCTCTAAGCTCATCTATGCTCCGCTACGCTACGCTCCGCTAAGCCCCGCTCGGCTCGTCTAGGCGACGCTAAGGTCCGCTGAGCTCCTCGAAGCTCTCCTCGGCTTCATTTCTCTAAATTGCGCAAAGCCCACCCGAGCTCTTGGAGGCCCCTTGTGCCCCTCCGTGGTTAAGCGAGGCCCCTGCGGAGGGGGGGCGAAGGGGGGGGGGGGGCAGGGGGGGAGGGGGGGGGGGGGGGGGGGAGGGGGGGGGGCAAGGATTGGCCGGCTGGCCAATCTGAGAGAGGCCCGCGTCAAGAGAGACCGCGTCAAGAGAGACCGCGCGAGTGCATCGCGCGCGCTGGGCCTGGGCGGCAGCGAGGCGAGTCCGCGGGCTCGCCACGAAAAAGAGAACCGCTCCCCATCGCGACGGCAAGCGCGGGAAGTCAAGCTCGCGGCAGTCTGAAGCCGACGGCCCCTCACGCCTCCGGGAGCGTCCCGAACAAGCGCCTCGTGAGCTCTATCGAGCGCTGCTTCTTCGCTGCCCTGGCCGCCTCGTCATCGGCCGGCGAGGGGGCCGGCGACTGCCCCGCCGGCGCGACCAGGGTCTTCTCCGCCGAGGCCTCCCACGGCTTCAGGAACCTGCTCTCGTAATCCCGCTTCTTTCCATTCTGGGGCCCCGACTTCATCATGGCCGAGTACTTCTTGCCCTCCCAACCAACCATCCTGAGCACCGTAGCCTGCTGGTCGTTCCATCTCTCCTTTTCCTTGATGGCGATGGTGCGGACTTTATCGCCCGCCTTGAAGGGCGCGGTCGCCTGCTGCGCCGCTGCCGCCGCCGGCGCCTGCGGCGGCGGCGGCGCGGCGTCAGGCGTCGCCGCGGGGTCAGAGCCACCGGCCGCGGTCGCCGCCTGGCCCGGCTGACCCGTGGCGGTCGCGCCGTCGGCGGGCTCCTGTTCCGCCGCAGCCGCAGCCCAGGTCGCGACCCCGGCGCGCGAGCTTGCGACCTGGTCGAGCGTCGCCGCGCCTAGCGGGAGCTTCATGTGGCCCTCGTAGGCGGCGAGGGCCATGGCCTCGGCGACCTCGGCACCCCCGGGGCCCTCAGACGCGGCTTCCGGAGCGCCCTGCGGCTCTGCGGGAGCGGTCTCCGTCGTCACCTCGCCCGCCTCAGCGGGCCCCTGAGCCGCCTGGCCCGGCTGGCCCAGGGCGGTCGCGCCGTCGGCGAGCTCCTTCTTGACCTCGGCCGCCTTATCGGGGATGCACAGACCCCTCTTTAGTAAAACGTGGTTTAGTGAAAACGACCTGAGGCCTAGACCTGGAGGGCGCAAACCTGGAAAATAACGGCCACGGCGCCCTCTCGAGAACCGAAAACGGACAATTCACTAATCGACGTGTCATTGTTGGGGGTTCTGTCCAGCCCCGACCTTAGCGGGCCCCTCGGCAACCTGAGCGGGCGCCTCGGCCGCATTCTTCGCCAAGCCCAAGATGTAGTCGCGCAGCTCCGAGGTGGCCTTCTTCGCCAACCCGAAGATGACGTCGCGCAGCTCCGCCTGGCAGGACTCGGGGAAACCCTCCGGCATGTCGGCAGCGGTCGACAGCTCCACGCCGGGGCGCTTCAAGCCCAGGCGGGACGCCGCGACGTCCTCGAAGAGCTTGCGACCGAACGTGGCCCGCGCGCTCCCGGGCGAGCACGAGTTCTCCGCCGCCTGCAAGGAGACGAGGTCCACGATGACGGCCTTCGCAACGGGGGACTTCACGGACTCCGCCAGGTCGTGTTTGATGATGACGTCGGCAGCAGACATGAACTCTCCGGCTGGCGCGTCGCGCCACTTGCTCTTGGCGTCTGCGAGCGGCTCGACCTTCATGGACTCGCTGTCGGCATCCCATTCGCCGAGCAGGTCGAACCGGCCCGTCTCTTCGAGTAGCCAAAATCCCAAGGCCTTTCCATTCAGCGCCATGGAGGTCTGGGCGAACTTCAGAAGTCGCAAGTGCTCGGGCCGAAGAGACGCTGACAACTCCAACACCTCCTCTACCATGTCTTTCTTGGCGGCGGGGGTCATGCCAGAGTTCTCGTCCGTCAGCATCTTGACGCGGTGGGCTTGCTTGGCGGCGGTGTAGGACTCGACGAAAGGGGAATACACTAGCGTCGGCATCCGTGAGAGCGCCAGGCCATCAATCTCAAAAATTGCCAAGTTGAGGTCGTAGCCCTGCTCGCACATCGCAACGACGGCCTTGCCCAGTCGAGGGAGCAAAGGCGGGAACTCCGTGCCCAAGTCTTTCAGCTGCGAAACGACGGGCTCTATCTGAGGCCAGCACTCCGTCAATAACAAGCACTTCACCACGAAGGACGGGAATTCCTTGTTGTACTGGTCCAAGGACTCCACGATCTCCTCCACCGTCTTGCCCTGCTCGCGGGCCCGGAGGGTCTTCAAGTGACTCAGCCACATGCGGAAACGAACCTCCACGGTGCTCGTCAGGTCGTTGTTCTTCGAGACGCGCTGATTCTTGCAATCCTCTTCGATGCCCTGCGCGAGCTGCTCTGCGGCTTGTTCATCCGTCAAGGACTCGCGCTTCTCAAGGACCCGCCTCGCCGCGGGCTTCGGCGCCTGCTGGCCCGCGGGTCCGTCTCCCGGGGGGGGCGCGCCGGGAGCGCCAGCTGGGGCCGACGAAGCCGACGCCATGGCAGCCGGCATCTCGGACGCTGGCGAAACGGCGCCCATGATCGCCGGCGCCGGCGACCCTTTCGCGGGCGCCTTCTGCGTCTTCACCACCCGCACTTGCACGTGCAAGACGCCTGCGCCCAAGGCTGGGCGCGGGCACCCGTCGTCGATGATCCACACCTCCTCGGGGACGAAGTGGGAGGGCAGATCCGCCACCTCGTCTGGCCGCAGCAGCCACTCCTTCTCGAGCCCCTCCTCCGCCTCCTCCTCTGTCCTCCTCTTCGGCCTCTTCGGCCTCATCCTCCTCCTCTTCGTCGTCGTCCTCCTCCTCCTCCTCCTCTCCTCGAGCCCGTCCTCCTCCTCCTCCTCTTCCTCCTCCTCCTCCTCCTCCTCCTCCTCCGCCTCCTCCTCTGTCCTCCTCGAGCCCCTCCTCCGCCTCCTCCTCTGTCCTCCTCTTCCTCCTCCTCCTCCTCCTCCTCACTTTCCTCCTGCTCCTCCTCTTCGGCCTCATCCTCCTCCTCTTCGTCGTCTTCCTCCTCCTCCTCCTCCTCCTCCTCCTCCTCCCTCCTCCTCCTCCTCCTCCTCCTCTCCCCCTCCTCCCCCTCCTCCTCCTCCTCTGCCTCCTCCTCTGTCGTCCTCGAGCCCCTGCTCCGCCTCCTCCTCTGTCCTCTTCGGCCTTGTCCTCCTCCTCCTCCTCCTTCTCCTCCTCCTCCGTTCCTCCTCCTCCTCCTCCTCCTCCTCACTTTCCTCCTGCTCCTCCTCTTCGGCCTCATCCTCCTCCTCTTCGTCGTCGTCCTCCTCCTCCTCCTCTCCTCGAGCCCCTCCTCCTCCTCCTCCTCCTCCTCCTCCTCCTCCTCCTCCCCCTCCAGCCAGCGATGCAGTGAAGGCCTCGAGGCCCCACCACCGCCCCACGGGGAGGAGCTGGGCCCCATGCAGCCTCTAGCCATAGGTTGCGCCATAGGTTGCGCCCTCGGCAATCGAGAAGAAAACGGCCTCCGATCGGTTGCGCCATAGGTTGCGCCCTGTGCCTCCGAGAAGAAAACGTCCCCTAATTGGTTGCGCCATACGTTGTGCCCTCGGCTGCCGAGAAAAAAACGCCCCCCTGATTGGTTGCGCCATAGGTTGCGCCTGTCGGCCGCCGAGAATAAAACGTCCTCCTATACATTCATACGGATCCCAGAGGTCCGCCTAGGGCAACATGGATATCGTATTGTGTCACATTGTGTCGTACTGCTTCGTATTCTTTCGACTTGTACTCTGTCGTGC